TTCAACGGCTTTATCGAAATACATGCTCTAGTCCGGAAAAATGGTTTTCTTAGACACTATGGGGACTGCTCAGCCATAGCCATGTGAGAAAAATCAACACGATTTTAATTAGTGACATACTTTCCAAAATCACTTTTGGTGAGGTATGAAAACTGAATAAGCCTTTCAGTTTTTTTAATAAATACGAAGCATATTAAAAAGCTCATTAGAACATCTTTCTAGACCTCTTTCTCGCTTTCAGCAATGTCTCAAGAATATCTGTTTTTCGATCTGTTTCCGTCATGCAACTTCAGACAAAATAAATGGGTAAAATACTCGGTTTCGCCTATTTCACCGCTTACGAGGAAACGATACTTGGTGTCCGTGGCCTTTTGAGATAAGATGTATACAGTTATACTCATCTTGGAGCGCTGATTCCGAATCTGACTTCCGTTTCTGCTAATCGTTTCTCTAAAAGAAATTACGAAGGATTTTTGCGTTAAAGGAGAGTGTTCGGAATGCCAGAACCGCCACTAAGATGTGGTATAGTGGCTAGTGCGATAGCCTCGCAACTTAATGTAGGCTTAGGTTCGAGTCCTTTTGTATTTTTCAGTTTTGCATTGCCTCAATCAAGCTTCTTTTTGAAAGTTAGGCATCCTCGGCCACATTTCTCTTAGGCGACCATTGACACGAAAATCGTTCATAACTTCTTTCAGAGAAACGATTAGCAGAAAGGGAAATCAGATTTGGAATCAGCATTTTAAAACGAGTGTGACGGTATACGTTTCATCTCAAAAGGCCACGGACATCAAGTATCGTTCCCTTGTTAGATGATAAGACTCTGACGTGGTCCCCGTCTCGAAAACCTAACTTATTCGAAAGGATGAAATATGCCAATGTTCATTTTGAGAAGTATAGAGGAGAAAATGTATCGTTGAGTCGTTTCTAACTCTTTGACTATTAACGTTCTTTTTACTTTGCTAGATGGCTATAGATTTTAGAGCTTCGGGTCTTGTTATCCGTCCTTAATTTTCCGTTGGTCCTAAGGCTGAGGAGCCTGGCTTTATGCATTGTTGTGTTGTTCAAACTTTCTGTTTGGTTTTATTGTTGATGCATCTTGAGCGTATTTAAAAAATAAAACAAAAAAAATTTATTTCCATTACACGTCATACCTGCTACATGACGGCCCGCAAAATTGAACTGCTAATTTCCAGTATATGCTCCTTAATTTCTTGTCTCTTTTGATTTGGATATGTATCAGTAACAGTGTACATTTCTATAGTTTTTTTTTCTACAGTAAAAGAGGATTGAGGAGCTAGTACTACGGGAGTCGAGTTGCTGCGTGTAGTGTGTAGGCCCACACGTTATGTTACAAATGACTTGACGATATCATTCATTTTGTGGCTAAGAGATTGAAAAAAAACTTATTTTTGATACTAAATTACTGATACTACTTGATAAGTTACTAGTATTACCTAATTTTGATATTTTATATAATTTTGATAATTCTGATTAAAACCGCTTTGCACGCAACGTATAGACGAGCTTGAAGATGTTCTTTCCTGTTTCCAAGTGCCAAATATTCCTAAATTCAATGGATCGCAGATATGAACTTGTCGAAAACACGATCAAACTTGTTTTACTAAATGTGCAACGCGTTTTCGAATGTTTTAGATAAATGATATAAAACTCTTGTAAAATCTGTTGAACTAGTAGATGACATCTCAACTTTTTTGACACGTGGGTAGGAAGTTGACACTTATCAATGTGAAAAATGAGTTAAATGAGCAAGGAGAAAGCAGTATTTTCTTGAGAGAATGGGTCCGGATAACTCAAAAGTACTCATTTCATATAAGATTCGCACAAAAGCTGTAATTATGATACAGAGCAATCTGTCTATGTCCGTCAATTAGTCTTCATCTATGAAGTTCTATTTGTCTTATGCAAGTAGATATCTAACAAGCTGTAAATCCCAAAGGACGCGATCTTTTACCAATCCAATAATTAATGTTTTTGCTTCACACCTGCAATAATGTCTAGGTATGTCTGGCCTGCTAAACACTAGACTTAATTAGACTTTTACAACTCGGAATAAAATACCATATCATTCATTCTATGACCAAAAAGCGCGAAACCGTATTGCACACATTGTTTAAACAAGCCTAATCGTACTCACCAGGTTTATACTATTATCTATCTCGTCCAGGTTTATTCTTTCATTGGAAACAGGGAAGAACAAACGCAAACTTGTTGAGACAATGTCCGCAATGCGTCTCCTAGTCATAGAATAAATGATAACTAAGTTCGTATGTAGTGTACAGATTCAGAATCGTTTTTATCCTTGCGCTCAAATTTTCGTGTTTTCTCGTCTCAAAAGAACCTTACTACCTTTAGAACAGCATTGACTTATTACATTCTACACTATTCTGTCCGAACTGACGAGCCGCTCCGTCAACGCGGATGACGACGGATCTGCGCACGCCGGTCAATCTCTCATTCACTGTTGGGATGGATGAAGTGATCGCCTATCATAAAGTAAACTTGATCTTGGGTGCATCTACTACAGTCGTCAATCTGCTGCTTCTTTCCGTATTTCTTGCTTCTTCGGTGCTAAGACAAAAGTGTGAAGTGAGTTCAGCTTGTTCCTTATTTTAGTGCTTTTGCTAGAATCATGAAAAAAAATCAGCTGTCCTGTGCTGATTATGGCACATGCCGCCTGTCGCTACAACTCTCGAAAGTTAGAAGCCAAGCTTGGCTTACACCCTAGGCCATGGCGGTTCGTGAAAATTTTTGAGGAAGGGGGACGACTAAATATCCAATGGAGGGGCGTGGCGTTCCACGTCGCAGCTAATTTCAATTCTTAAAATCACTTAAATTATCTTTATGCTCAACTCAACCTTTCGCATTTCCTTTTCACAAAGAATAGGCCAAACTAAGAATGGGTGAGCATTTCTAAGGCGCTTACTCTCTTTACAGCTAAATCCATAGTCTACTAAAAAATGAGGACAAATGATCAACGACCCTACTTTATGTTATTACTTCCTTTTGTTCCTGCACCTCATTTGATCTCTTTTTATAAAATCTCTTTTCTTGAATAAGCACTATAACGGCAAGCCTCGATTTTTGCAATGCCAGGTGGTGTCAGACTGGCTCTAGCTATAAACTCAAATAGTAAGTTCTTTTCTCGTACTCAGTCTAAATCTGGAAAGAGAAAATTGGAACCTTAATAATTGAAAACAAATCTGTATAATCTAAAAGAGGGGGGGAGGCACAATGCGCGCAAAATGCAAGCAGTGTAAAATTGCTCTTGCTAATTTTTACAAAACTTTACTATAGCGTCGAGTCATGTATCCACCCCCACCCCCCTCCGCCTACCTTGGCGTAGTGTCACTTTAACAGCGAAGAGTTTTGAGAGGCACAAGATTTGGGGAATCTAATCCAGTTCATTCCGAATCTTGCCGAACACTAGGTGTTGTTGTGATTCCACTATCATTTACTTTTGTTTATTCGTCTCATTGTCCTCTCTGAAAGTGTAACCATAGCAGAACTACAACTCCGCTCAGTCGATAAAATAAGGCAAAACGTTAGAAGGCACTTTTTCATGTGCAAAGTGGAGCATGATGTAGACATACTTTTAAGGAAGAGAATGTTCGTGGCTAAACTCGCAATGTTCAAAGAGGTTTTGAGATGCTACCTGAAAACACACTAACACTTTTTGTTGTTCAGGTGCTATTGTGTTGACTGTTTTTTTTTGTAGTTGTTTGATTGTTTCTTTTTCATAGGGGCATCCCTATGCACAAATATATATATATATATATATATATATCAGTGGCGTACCCAGGATTTCGGCTCGGGGGGGGGGGGCGCGGCAAAAAAAATTTTCAAATGAAGGTGCGTGGCGTTAGCCACGCACTCCGAAAATTTTTTAGGAGGGCTTCTCAACAATTTTGCGGGCCCCCAACCCCTAAAATCTGGAAAAAGGGGGCGTGGCGTCAGCCACGCCCCCGAAAAAAATTTTTTTGTAAGGCTAATTTGAATTTTTAAAAAATTTTAAAAATTATTTTAATTGTTTACAAAAATAAACAAGTCATTTGCACATTTTTATAACTCATGTATGTATGTAAGCCTTCCAAACGCCAATGCTCTAAGGGATTGATGATCCATTAATGATGCGTAATGATATGGATGCTCTGAAAATAACTCTCACGTCATCCCCGATGATTGCTAGTCTTTACTTGCTCATCTTCAGCATAAATTGCCTCGTTACGATCGTTGTAATCACGAAAATACAATAAAGGGGGGGACATGATACAGTGGGACAGCGACAGAGGTATGTTGCGTAGAAAAGGGGTTTAATGGTGTGATCTATCATGCTTTTCAAGAGGGACTGAGAGAAGCCGGATATGCCAGTTAGTGAAAAATCGGTACTGACTAGGTAATCTGATATTGTAACAAATCGATTTATGGCCATGGCTATCTGACTTGGGAAATTCAAGAGTTCTCTAGCTTCTATCATCAAAGATTTGGCATTTTTGCTAATATAATTTAGGGTTATTATTTCTTGTTCAGAGATTAATTCCCATCACATCTTAGGGTTTTGCAAAGACCAGATTGAGTTAAACTTTCGGGTATGAAGTGAAAACATTTAAGGAGATCTTTATCTTTGTCATAATTTCCTAGAAAAGCAGGGCTCATGAATCTGTATTCATTTGTGATCGAAAAAACTTTCCGAAAACGTCACCATTCCTATGGTGCAAAGACATTAATCATTGGACAGAGTAAATTGCGGCAAAACTTCCGTGTCTTGCAAGGTGCAACGCATTTGCATTACGTACTTCTAAGTAGCAATTATTCGCCGCAACCTGGTTCTCACATACTTTCGCAAAGATCAACTCTTTGTCGTTTCTGCTTATGCATCGCTTAACTGCACTAAGCTTAGCTGATACAGCACTTTACTTCCTGAATATTTCCTTAGCATCTGTTTGTATTCTTTATCATCGACTTCATTTTGCATATTACAGACACTGATTGTGCTGTGCCTCGCAGACGGCATCAATGGCTTTTCGATATTTTTAATGGGATTTAATCGTGTACTTCTATACTCCGAGGTAATCTATGAAAACAAATACATGTTCTAGCATTTGCTCGGTATTTTTCAGGTGATAGACACGCTCACAATTCCAGTTCGCACGTCTTGGGAATGTGCTGTTGAGCCTTGGTTGTTCTTTCGGGGATACGGTAGGATACTCTTTATTACTATTTTGCATAGATCATGCTTTAGAAACAGAAACAAATTAATGCAGTATTTGATTGAAGGTGATTTATGGCCGCCAATTGTGCAATTTGCGATGGGCATAGATCGTTGTGCTGCGGTTTTCAATCCCATAGTCTACAATAAGAGAGCATTCAAAAGGTGAGCAATTGAACAACAGACACAATGGGAGAAAGGGGAAGGGAGAGAGAGGTACGCATAACATAACCCACCGCAAGAGAATGAGTCACGAAATTCTCAAAACTGTTTCACATGAATTGCAAAAATTACCTGACTCGTCCTTTTAAGAGAAAATAGTTATGACATTACAAGAAAATCAGCATAGCTCTGTAAAAGCAACGCCGTACAGTCAAACTGCGAAAAATTTGTGAAACTTCTCCTCAGACAATCGGTGCCGTAGCTCCGGAGGACAGTCGAAATCTGGCAGAGTGCGGAGGACCCAATTGACCATTGAGAGCGGGACGAGAGGGCGGTCCCTTTCTGTGACGTCACGGTGACGTCACAAGAAGGCAGATGGGACCCCTCCGGCGGGCTTGCAAATCTCTGCTCCGGAGGTACGCCAGATTTGGGAGAGCCCCGGAGCACAGATTCGCGCTCCGGAGGTACGCCAGATTTGGGACACCTCGGGAGCAGAAAATGGGAGGGTTCCGGAGCACGAATGGGAGGTCTCCGGAGCACGAGTGGCAACCCCCCGTTGGGGAAACCCCGCGCCTCGGCCATTTCTGCTCCGGAGGTATGCCGTCGACTGTCTGAGAGTATGGTTTCCGCTCAATATTGTGTGCTTGTGGTGCCGAGAAAATGTGTCAAGAAATTCGCGTGAGCAAATGATTACCCTTTTGATTCAACTGGCTTGGCGGATGGAAGGCGGGGCTTCGTGATCTAATTAAGGCTAAGTGATGATCAGAGAGTAAGCGGGCGGGAAAAATGCAGACGCAAACTGCATCGTGCGGCCTTAATTAAGTCACAAAGACCCGCCTTCGAGCCGCCAAGCCAGTTGAATCAAGGTTACGTCTGAAATGCCGTCCACTTGCGCGCGAAGATGCTGGCAACATCGGCGTGGTACTTGTTCACGCGCAAAATTTACCGCTTTTTCTGGGCACCGCAAGTGTGCTATATTAAAGGCACTGTCCACCCAAAGTGAGGGTTCACGAGATTCGATGGCATACTAATGTGGGCCCCCACACTAAGCCAACCCCCAAGTTTCCCCGCAAAAAATTGCTTCCAGAGCGAGAAATCCGCTCTGGAATGTACGTGATACGTGATCCAGAGCTGGTCACTCCGCCCATTTTGCAGCTTTGGGGGCTGCGGCGCTGATATACGCCGGGCGATAACCGCGCCGCAGCCCTGCAAACTGCACTTCCACCCGTCCCGCTTTCTCCATAATAGGGGTTTTTGGGATTCTAGATTTCATATTCGAAATCAGGGCCTTCAGAAGACCCGGAAGCGACAAAAACATGGAAGTGGAGAATTTGGGTGGACGGTGCCTTTAAGCGGAATACCTACTAGGCTATCGCATTTGTCAACCCTCCTTCATGATACAGTTATGGGACCACCACTTGCACATAATGATGTAATGGTGATATATGCTGAGATGACTAAAACGAAGTCTTGGTTCAAAGTAAAATAAGACAAGACGTAACGGAGAATTTTAAGGAGAGGAAACTTCTTCGGCGCGACCTTGCTTTGTGTGAGCTGTGTACTTGCTGTGGGATACGGCATATCGTGGAGCATGCGCTCACTCAAGGTCAGCTTCAATTTGATAAATATTGTCGGTATTGACCATGAAAAGCCGACAGCTTTCGCGCGAAAAACTGCTGGGCATCAGTAATGAATGGCATTCAAAACAGTGCACATTTTTGAGTTGCGTCTCAAGGTCCTTTTTCACGCGTGAGTGTTGTCGGCACCGCAAGACTCTATATACAACTGTTTTGATATAAGGATTTTCGCTTAGGTGAAGTACTGGTGCGGAAGGAAAGCAGCATTTGGTGATACGTTTGCCTCCTTTGTCTACGGCATGAACATTGTGTGCTATGTAATTGCCTTCTTATTGAGTTTGATATCCTATATCAAATCTAAATATTGGTTGAATACAAGGTACAACTGAGGACGAAAAACGACCGCTAAAATTCATATTGCAGCTCAGCAAAGCAGCAGCTTGCTCGGATTCGCTATCAACTGATGATTTCTGTGCTTTCAATCGTACTGATCTCTACACCAAACACCATGTCGTTGCTATCTCAGTATATTACAAAAGTGAGACGAAAACACTTGTAAGCCAAAGAATCAAATACCTAGTTCAGGTCGCTGACGCAATATCAAAGCCGTCCACTTATCTTATATGTGTAAATTCGTGTATAAATATTATAGTTTATATTGTGCTATATCAAGAATTCCGTAAAGAATTTCTGAGGATTATTTTTCGTCGAAGAAAAAAGACATCAGTATTGCCGATAACAGTGTCATCATATTATCAATAAAGTACATACGCACGTTTTTTCATGATGAGAGTATACGGACCTTTGAGAGCATGACCTTTGAGTACCTGCGGGGTCCGAAGTTTTTTATGGTGAAAACTGGGCGGCAAAACTTTCTTTGAATAAACGGGCGTGATTCAGCCAAGTCATTCACGATTCTTTGGCAGGCTTAAGATTTCCCGACTGGCTCAGAACTTCCAGGAAAATGGCAGCAAGGACACACCCCGCGAAAAAATTTTTACAAGGCTGACTTGAAATTTCAGGATAATTGCAATTATTTGAAGGTAAAAGCAAGTGATCCACGATTTTTCAGTGGCGATCGCACGATTTCCGTCCGGAGGGGGCGAGGAAGCAAAAAATTTTCAGATAAAGGTGCGTGACGTTAGCCTAGCACTCCGAAGTAATTTTTAGGGTTTCCCTCAAAATCTTTACGGGTCCATAACCGCTACACTTTCAATTGTTTACAAGAATAAACAATTCGCTTGCACATTTGTATAGCCCATGTAGGTATATTTGAAAAATTTCGCGACCCATTCTCCGAGTGGGGGGGGGGGCGCTCGGATGGACGCAACGACAACCAGTCTCTGCGTGTGATGAATGGCCTATGGGCCACTGAGGAGGCGTATGCTATGAGGCGTAGCTGGTCGGATCAAGGTTCGATTCTGGGCCAACCAAGCCCTCAAAAGCATTGACTTGGTAACCTAGACCTCACAAGTTCGCACGCATTCAGTTGCCTCTGCGACTACGAAATAGGATGCGTTCGGCGCATGCATGCAAAGATTATTCAAATCGCTGACTCCTTTTCTTCTTTATAGACCATTTCAAGAAAAAAAGAAGGGGGCATTCTCGGTCCGACACCGGCATGTACATGGCTAACCCTTAACAGGGAAAGATACTTGGCCCCGGCCAATCACAATGGTTTGTACATCAAAAAATGTAATGCTGGTTCGAATACTGTTTTCCATATCTGCGAAGCGAGAACGACGGGGTCACCAAGTATCGTTTCCTCGTCAGAAACATCATGCGCTGTTAAAGTATCGGAGATTTATAACAAGCAAAAACTGGACGCCATTACGTACGACCAGATAGTCGTGCTCGGGAGAGAAGCGATGGTAAGAGAAAGGAAACAGCGCTTGTTCAGAGAGACGCAGATACGTCGCAGTTCCGTGCGATGAATCGCTTATACTCTGCTTACAAGGGACTAAATCTTTGTGGAAGCCATGGGAGCACTCAGACTATCGAAATGCGAATTTCCTATTTTTACGAGTCACTAGTTGACTTGCCCGGCTCCGCCCGGCCCTGTCATTATTATATTCGTAATCAGCATGCTCGATTACCCCCCTGTGCCAACTCCCAGCCTCGTAGCTCAAATTTTGCAAAAAATCGATAAAATCGATATCGATCGATGACGAAAAGTAGCCTATGACACCCGCCGGGACCCGAAGTGTATGTGTGCCAAGTTTGGTCCGGATCGGTGCAGAAATGGAATTTTCAACATACGTACAGACAGACAGACAGACAGACAGACAGACAGACAGACATACAGACATACAGACAAACAGATATTCAGTTTTATATATAAGAATTAGAGCCAGTCTCATCAGCAGAGCAAGCAACTGCAGAAGCTCAATGTGTAGATACTTAAGAATTTATGGATGTACAGCCTGTGTAAAGGATGTGCTCCCTTTCCGATCAGCTCAAGCGCAACCATAGAACCTCGTGCTGCGTTTGCAGGCGTCTTGCTTGAGCTTTGAAATTTGCCGCATCGATCGATTGCTGTTTTTGAGCATTTAAAACAAAAGGTTTTACAGCATGCAACAACATGCGAAAGAGTGATATATGAAACCAGCATAAGACCTTTTTTGGCAAGACGGACTTGTTGCTCCCTCTCCGCCCCTCCCCCCGCTGCCCTCCTTCTAGAAGGTTAAGACTGAACGGTTGCTCAGTCTGCTTACACCTCAAGCAGAGTCCGGCACAGATGGTTCGGGATCAAAATGGACTTCGTTTTTGAGGTTATAAGCAACGGGGATATCGTTTTTATAAGGTCCTAGGCGAAGCACCGAAGGCTCCCGCCAGAGTGCGAAGTTATGCCAGCGCTATGCCAGCATTTCGATCGATACACGTGTATTTCGTTGGGGCGGGGCTAGCTGACGTCCTCGACGAAATACACGTGTATCGATCGAAATGCTGGCGTAGAGCTGGCATAACTTCGGCACTCTGGCGGGAGCCGAAGAAAAAACGACGATTATTCACGAGTTAGACGTGTTCTTTGGCAGGCGCGCGAATTTCAAACGTAAGATCCAAACAAACAGATGGCTTGTTTACAGCGCACAAACAATCACATGACACCGAATTCGGGCTATGTATCTTATATATAAAGCTGAATGTCTGTTTGTATGTATGTCTGTCTGTATGTCTGTCTGTCTGTCTGTCTGTCTGTACGTATGTTCCGAATAGAAAATTCCATTTCTAAACCGATCCGGACCAAACTTGGCACACAGACACTTCGGGCCCCGACGGGTGTCATAGGCTAATTTTCGTTATCGATCAATATCGATTTTATCGATTTTTTGCAAAATTTGAGCTACGGGGCTGGGAGTTGGCACAGGGGGGTAAATGAGCATGGAGATTCCGAATACAATATTAGTTTTCAAAATCGTGCATTACTTTTATCGATTTTATCGATTTTTTTGCAAAGTTTGAGCTACGGGGCTGGGAGTTGACACAGGGGGGTAAGTGAGCATGGGGATTCCGAATACAATATTAGTTTTTAAAATCGTGCATTACTTATCGATTTTATCGATTTTTTTGCAAAGTTTGAGCTACGGGGCTGAGATTTGGCACAGGGGGGTAATCGAGCATGCTGATCACCCCCGTGGGGGTGATACGGCGGAGCCGGGTAAGCCAGCTAGTACACAATATGATTCCAAACAACAATATGTAAAAAGTTTCAAAAACTTATGTGTCCTAATACCCGTTCCCGAATCTGTTGGTTTCTGGACCAACACCAAACCAACTGGGTTGGTTCGGAGCATAAATATCGGAGATTTCACATAATTTTTGGATTTTTCTGAATTGGACGAAGAGAACGCTCCAAAATCTATCATATAGCGAAGAGAGCGAATCAAACCACTGCTTCTCCTCTTTTTGAGCCAAAAATAGTGTAAACCAAAGCACTGATAGATATCGCGCTCCAATCATATGCGCTGTTCTTTGACTATGTGGCGAAAAATGCATCGCCAGATTGTTGAGGTCACAGATTTGATTGGCCTCAGAGGTCAACGTTCTGAACATTAAAATGGTACCATACTCAAGGACTGAATCGACTCAGGATGTTTTTTTGTTATATTAGGTACCCCAAAACTCGCTTCTTACGCTTTTTTATCGTTATGTTTTGTGATGTTGATTGAACAAGGGTTTCCCTACTGACTTTTACGTCAAAAGGGGCTTCGTAAATTTTCGCGAGCTCATAGGGGACTTCGTTTCCAAAAATGCTCCAAACCAACGCGTGCCGGGCCCTGACCTCAAGTCCACGACAGTCCTAGCATATCTTTCTAGTCGATCCACCCTGAAGTCAAAATGGGTGCTACTAAGTGGAATCTGAAGAAGATGCTTGGGAAAGCTGTGACTACTAAAATAAAAAAAGAATTACTTCATAAGTCCTCCTTTCTTTAAACCTTGGCATGTTGATAGTGCATCGTTTAACTTTTTCTATGCCACAACAGGTTTTTATCGGACCTTCTTATTGAGCCTTATATTTCGGCGGAAAAAACGCCGTCCTCAGAGGCCTGAAAGCGATTCAAGAGCGATTCATTCATAAAAAAATTGTGCCAAAACTGCTGAAAGTGCACTGCAAAGACCAGTGTTAGTACCGCATTCGCGAGGAATCTCATTCGTTAACAGTGAAGTGTGAGGACTATAGTTAGTTCGTTTATCTTATTACCAGTGCGTCACCTCTGCTTCGCAGAGGCTCGCACTGGCTCTACTATTTACGTGCCTTACTCAGGGGGACGGTTAGGAGGTACGATCGGCGCGAATTTTTCGCGAAGCAACGCCACAACGTAATTCAGCGCTTACAACAGCAGCGCTCCTGGAGCGGTCTTACTTATAGCATTAAAGCATGTATCTGTCCCCATCCTCACCTCTGTTTTTGCCGCCGGGAATTTCTATTGGCGGAGAGTCTTGGAGGCCCCAAGATTTGAACGCGGCGTGGCGGAAGAGCGGCCGCCGCGCGCGGCGTGCCTCCTGACGTGCAGCCCTTTACTCATCCTCGTAAAATCGTGGCACTGGAACTCACCGCGCTATGCCGACCACCACGAATAAAATGTAAACAACCACTCATTTAAAAAGTCTTTTCACGTGAGATCGGTGATTTCGCGTGGATGAAACTTTTCGCAGGAAGACAAACGCAAACTTGAATAGGTTTTTGGATTTGTCATCAGGGTTGAGCGTGGGGTCAGGCGCGCCCGACCTGGGGGGTCGTACTGGGGTAAGGCAGAGGGGGGGGGGGGTCGTGATTAGGAATCGAATTCGTTCGATTGAGGAGATACTACGATTAAGATGAAGAAGGAAAGCGCCAGTTTAGTGGATATCGCGACCTCACCAGTACTGAAGGAATGAACGGTCTTAAACAGCATACTGATTGATTCCACAATCGAAGTTTCGGCCAAGACTCAAATCTTCATCTTCTACCTTAACATATTATAAATTCATCAAGGAAATGCTGTGTGAAATGGGTATCATTTCCGAGAACGTCAAATTACCTCTATGAGCCCTACAAACCATTATTTACTGCATTATCTAGTGTTTCTCAACGACTAAAAAGCGTGATTTTCAAACATGATTAACTTGTTTTCAGAAGTGAGAAAAGTCAATTTTTTTGTACTCGTAACAAAGTATTGTTCCCTACTAGTCTAGGCTAAAAATCGCGCTTTGTATCGCTTGCAAATAGTGGAGTAAGAAATGATGCCAAAATTCCGACCGGCGCGTTTTTAGCCATGACTGCTTCAACTCCACGGATTACCACAAGGCCGAAACAAGTCGAATCAAGTCCAAACACTTACTGTGGAATCTTCGAGGGTTATGCTAGCGATTCACATAAAACTTGAATAAAAAAGCTTCTTCAATGATAAAGTTAATCGGGTCAGGCGCAACCCCACAAAAGGTCAGGCCGCCTGAGCTTTTGAGGGGTTGCGCCTGACCCGATTAACTTGTTCTCAAAATCTAAAAATCGCTCCATTTTTGCTATGAGTATTGAACTCAAAGCCTCTTCTTGCAATACTGTAAATTTGGAGCCAAACAATACACCCCTGTGGGAATTATAGCTCTAAAAGTAGGGCTATCCAAAATCCAAAACCTGCCGTCAAGTTGCGTGTGCTGTGCAATCGCAGAAAGTCGACCTACAGACCTCCAAAGAGCAAGAACCTCCCAAAGACGGCTGATCTCTTCGGATTATCACAGCCTGAGGTCCTGGAGGTGAAGCAGAGGGGTCGTTTGGGGGCTTTCACTGGGGGGGGGGGTCGTTTTGGAAGGACTTGTGCCTGACCTCTTGCTCAACCCTGTTTGTCATTGCTTGGCAGTCGCCATAAAGGTAATAGTAACCGTGAGCTACATCCAGGGTTGAGCAAGAGCTCAGGCACAAGTCCCCCAAAAACGACCCCCCCCCCCCCTGTGAAAGCCCCTCAACGACCCTCCGCTTCACCTCCAAGTCCTTAGGGTGCTATATTTTGAAGAAGACCAGCCTTTGCTGCAGGTTTCTATTTTTTGGAATGTAGGCCCGACTTTCTGCGATTGCACAGCACATGCAACTTGACGGCAAGTTTTACATTTGAATAGCCCTTTTTCAGGGCTATAATTTTCACAGGGGTGGAGTATTTGGCTTCAAATTTTCAATATAGCAAGAAGAGGCTTCGCGCTCAATACTCATATCAAAAAAGAGGCGATTTTTGAATGTTGAAGGCAAGTTAAGAGGGTCAGGCGCAACCCCTTAAAAGCTCAGGAGGCCTGACCTTTTGAGGGGTTGCGCCTGACCCCATTAACTTTATTTCCGAAAAAGCTTTTCTACCCAAGTTTTATATGATTCGCTAGCGCAATCCTCGAAGATTCCACAGTAGGTATTTAAGCTTGATTCGACTTGTTTCGGCCTTATGCTAATTCGAGAAGTTGAAGCACTCAACGTGAAAAACGCGCCGCTTGGAATTTTGGCAGCACTTCTTACTTCACTGCTTGAAAGCGATATGAAGCCCGATTCGTAGCACAGACTTATAGAGAACATTACTTTGTTATGAGTATACAAAAGCTGACTTTTCTCACTTTTGAAACCAAGTCAATCACGTTTAAAAATCACGCTTTTTAGGCGTTGAGAAACACTAGAAACAGTAGATGGTTTGGAGCGCATAGAGGTAATTTGACATGCTGATTATGGAAATGATACCCATTTCACACAGCAGGCTTCCTTGTTTCCTCATATGTCAAGGTAAAAGAGAAGAAGATTTGAATTTGGCTAGAACTTCCATCATAAACAATCAATATGTTGTTTATGACCGTCATTCCTCCATATGATCGCGATATCCACCGGACTAGCGCATTTCTTCTTCATCTTCACAGTATCTCCCCAACTTAATGAATTCGATTCTTGATTACGATCCCCCCCCCTCGGTCTTACCCTCAATACGATCCCCCAGGTCGGGCGCGCCTGACCCCACGCTCAACCCTGGCTACATCTCTGTGCGAAAATCTTCTCAAACGCTTAGCTAGAACCTTGGCAAATTGACCATTTACACAACCACTTCTTTTCGGTGCCGTTTTCGTTATGTAGTAAACTTTCGACCACTTTTCAGGCTAAACTCCATCGCTTGCACATTTGCTTACCAAACTATCCACAACTCTGCAAAAAGTGGTGATATGACCGAATTTTGCTGTACAGAAGCCAGGTGGACCCGTTTGGCGCGCCTCGAGTGGACTTAGCGGATCTAATCGTCCTTTTGCATATCGAGCTTTCATGAGGGTAGCATGCGCTATGCAAAATTTGGGCTTAGAACGCTGGCTGGAACACGCTCCACGAATTTCGTAACAGACACACTCTCACACACACAGACAGACAAAGTCACGTAAACATCCCGTTATTATAAGTTATGATGATTTTGAGCACAACCAAGTGCGCCTATCCTCTTGGGACCAAAATCAATAGAGGCTGCGTTCATACTGATCCCGAGGTCCGGGAACAGTTCCAGCAAAGTGCTCGAACTGATCGCTGTACTGGAACTGCTTCCGAGCTTCGGGATCAGTATGAACGTAGCCAAAAACAGCTTGAATGCTGAACAGTTCCTGCCTCGAAAAAGCTCCTTTAACTATGTCCGTGAAGTCCGCTGCGCTGGTCGAGACTACGTCACTGCTGAACTGACCGTTCTAATCAATTTGAAAATGTTTAAAAGTGTGCTGTAGTCATGAGTGTGTTTGTGTATTATTTGTCTTGTTGCAGCAAGAAGAGTCACTTATAGCCTTTTTATCTTTTAGTATTTGAAGTCTATCATCTTCTTCACGATTCGTGTGCAGGCGGAGCGTGGCAGCTCAAAGTGTAGCGGTTTTCATGGTGAAAGAGTACCAAAGACAATGCTATAACGTGGAGGCTTAATTAGTTTATCCTTACAAACAAAAAGTCCGTAGCCCGCCTCCACACAATTATGAAATGGATCATAATTCAAGTGCACCAGGCCCATTACCGGCGTCTAGGTGTAGGTTTTACCAATTTTGGAGTCGATCACACATGATATGCATATATGAAAGCCATCCTCTCAACCGTCTAACGAGTTTTCTCTAGTTTTATTGCTATGAGTTTCTTCTGTACGAGTGAAATGCGATCGTATGTAGGTAACCTCGCGTCCTCAGCTTCCATTTCATCCAGCTTAAATCGACGACTCAGGTTTTCAAATGGTTTCGCTGCGAAATGCCCTGAAAGGTGCAGCATGTGTGGCTGGCTTCGCAATACTTGCAAGGAAGCTGCAAGACGAGAATGCTTTTCGTAAAGTTCACTCTTTCACTGCAGCAGAGCCCAAGAACTTTGACGAGCATTTCCCTCGAGGCACATGGGATGATAACTGGGACTTGTATGTCTTTGTATCTGGATTATTCTGTCTTTTGCCTCTATGACATCTTTGTTATCATTACAGTCGATCCCCAGCATTTCTGCTGAACAAGAAGAAGTACGACAAAGCTTCGGATGAAGATAAAAAGAAAATGGAGGAGGAAGTGAAAGTCACTGCCACTCGGAATATTTTTCTGATTCGCCACGGCCAGTACGAGTTAGATAAGGAGAACAAGTGCCTTACGCCATTAGGTAAGATATTTCTATTGTGGATATCCAGTCAAATTTTGTATCTCGAGAAAGAACGCACAAGATCTTTCGGGGGGTGCTTTTGTTAGAATGACCTTTCTTCACACTTTCTATGATATCATGAGTAATCCGTTAGAACCTTCTGTTTTTTCTTCCTTTTTCTTTCTCGCTGCTTGATATACCGAAATTTTAAAGGCAGCGTCCAGGCAAGTCTGGACACATGGGGGTCTCACGTGGATAGTAATTTTGGGGCCATAACTAAGCCACTGCCCAACTGGCAGCTCAGGTAGTGCTCTAACGGCTGAGATATTCCCCTCAAAACTGGACCCCGCAATCGTATGTCGCATGGATTCATGGCGCAAAGCGTGGATCGGCGCGAAACTGCCATGAATTCATGCGAATACGATCGCGGGGTCCAGTTTTGAGGGGAATATCTCAGCCGTTAGAGCACTACCTGCGCTGCCGCTTGAGCAGTGCCTTAGTTAGGGACCCAAGAGTACTTTCCACGTAAAATCCCCATAGGTCCAGATCTGCCGAGACGCTGCCTTTAAATCCTAGTTGGAGTTGGCTCTTGCGGAACTAATCTACGAACACAGTTTTGTCTATTGCATCACGAAAATCTATATGTAAAAAGTGCGTAAGAGAGTGAACCGACTGCAATCACCTGAAACTATTCGCATACCCACCAAACCAGCTGAACGGAATCTGAAAGAAGCCTAACCTTTGCATCTGTTCATGTGTTCGATTCAGGAATCTTACCGAGGGCACAGCTCTTATGGTCACCTACGCTCAATTCTAGAGTTTATTTTCTGCCTGTGCGACAATTTTTTCATCACACAGAGTTGGCCTTTAGCAGTTTGAAGCACACTACATTACCTCGCGCTTGCCAAGCGTTCACTCGCTTTTTATTTACGCATTCTGAATTAGAGTTAGGGCGAAAGGAAGACTTTCGCAAAGCGCCAAGCGATCACCTTAAAAAAGCAGATGAGCGTTCCAACAAGCTCCAAGGATCGCTTAGCAAAAGTCAGTGTGGGTTTACTCGTATCAAGTCACAAATATCCAGTTTGCACCAGGCTAAGGACAGTGTTAATGCTGTTGAGACGACCTCCAATAATTCTGCCGTCGTGCCCAGCTTTCAATCCAGCAGGTTCCTTAGGCTGGGTTCATACTGAGCCGCAGAAAGCGGCACAGTTCCAGCACAGCGCTCGAACTGTGCTTGAAGCTGGAACTGTGCCGCTTTGTGCGGCTCAGTATGAACCCAGCCTTACAGACTGGAAGTTTAGGGGAAAAAGTCTGGAGCTTTCTTGATGGTGTGTACTGTCAGTGACCAAATGCAACTGTTTTGGAGCGCGTTTCGGCATACACTCTGTCAGAAGCTCGATAACCTGCATTTAGGTCGTGAGCAAGCAGCATTTCTTGGCAAACGTTTGGCTGAGTGCGGTATCCCTTTCGACCAACTCGTGATGTCCACTATGACTAGAGCCAAAGAAACGGCTGAGATCATCTTGGAACATCTGCCACCAACACTGAAAAGGTCTGTCCTATTCTGATTTCGTTTCTGTGATGTTTCTATTTGTTTTTTTTTCAAGATCGAGTTGTTCTTTGCTTGAAGAGGGGCCTCCTTATCCTCCAGTCCCAGCTGTAGATCACTGGAAGCCGCAACATGCCGTAAGTATCGTTTAATTTTGCAGATATAGAGCATGAAAACGCTTTTTTACGTGCTTCTGCTCCGTCTTTTCCTGATGTGTGTTTGAGGAGTTCTTTGCGGAAGGCTCAAGAATTGAATCCGCATTCCGTCGACATATACATCGTGCTGCTCCTTGGCAGAAAGAAGATTCTTACGAACTTTACGTCTGCCATGCAAATGTCATTCGCTACTTCGTCTGTCGGTACGTCTATTCGCCATACTCTTTCATAGTTGAAGAAGTTTTGAAATTTAGAGCACTACAATTTCCTCCAGAAGGCTGGCTTCGCATGTCCTTAGGAAACTGCAGCATTACATGGCTTGTTATTCGCCCTTCGGGCAGGGTCAGCCTTCGCAGCCTTGGTGATATCGGTCATTTGCCTCCTTCTAAGATATCATTTACCTAATTTACACACCCTTGCGTAATTGCCGTTACAAATTCTGTGCAATTGCAGTGCATTTTAGTTTCCCAGTTTCACAAAGTCGTTCACAATCTCCTTACCTTTTGCGAAGCTTCTTTTGTGCCAATTGGATTCTGGTCTATATTATACTTTGTTCATGAAGTTGAAGTATAGTCTGCCATTAAGGTATCGCAGAGTTTTTGTTAGAGTACTGAAGTTTCTGGCCATTCTCCCCCTCCTATCAGTTGAACGAAATCTGAGAATTTTGTTTCTCACCAAGACGGGTGATGTTTATTGCTATTTATTTCTTCGCATAAAGTATTCAAGGTCATCAATTGCTATTGAGTGTTCGTGATCGTGCGCGATTTAATTCATTGGACTTTATTCCCACAGTTGCTCACTTTGGGTAGAGGACGGTATGTCGCCAATAGGGACCTTTGCGGACACTTGGCAGGAGCTGCAGCTACATCATGTGCTCTTCTTGCGGATGTACGCGCCGAGTCTTCCTTCCTGGCGATGTTCGCCCTCTACCCACTCACTTTCTAAATTAGTAAATATCTGCATAAATTCAGGTTGCTCATGAAGCTTGTCTCATGGATAAATTAAAGTTTGCAAGGGAGATGCATGGACCACATCCAGACGGTTTCGATGATGATACTTCGTCGGAGGTACCGCCTGTCCCCGTTCCAACCTTCGTTGAACACAAGAACGCCTTTGTCAGCATGGCAACTAACGTCATTGTTAGCACTAGTTGTTCAAGATGTGAATTCAATGTACAAACAGTATACAACCTTAATGGAGTTATCTCATCGTCCCTTGATCATTTCAATCGGAAAAGGAGGCCCAATAATGGGACACTGTCTCGCTCGAACTTTTTTGCGTGGGTTTTTCTGGTAAAATTATGAACCAGCCTTGCCGACTTAAGCTGTTTCCGAGGTCTTAGGGCCTACCTATCTATCATGATTCCAAAATATGTAGTTTCAGCATGGTCTGCTTGCCTGCCAGAGAGTTGGCTGACACTGTCGATATACAGGATGTGTCAATGGCATGCTTCCTTTCTGCAGGCGTGGAGTTGCAAAGTCGCAGCGCGATTCCTTCGCACCACGTTCGGAGGTGTATAACTTGGCGTTTTGCCAACTTTCGCTTGATTCTTTGATCTCAACTCCTTTTTCTTCCACGAACTTCTTTTTCAATGTTTCCTGCCGCGCGCATGCTCGGCGCGGTGCGCAGGTGCTACGGAAAAGTGAGCTCGTCATTGACACGGCCTTCACACGCGTGGCGGTTTTGCATAGCGAGAGAGTACAAAAATGTTTCTAGAATGTAGGTGTATCGCTATGTTTAATCGTTGCAGTGGCCCGTCTACTGTGGCAAACGAGCGCCTCGAAGATATTTAAAGGAAGTTTAGCCCTGACCCTGGTGGTTTACTCGTGAGAAACACGGATTCATTTCGTGATTCGATGGTCGTGACCAGGGTTGAGCGAGAGGGCAAGCACAAGTCCTTGACGACACCCTTGTGAAAGACCCTAACCGATTCCTCCGCTTCCCTTCCAGGTCAGGTTGTGACATGTTGAAGAAGGTCAGCCAATATGGATGGAGGTTCTTATTTTTTGAAAGTCTGTAGGCTCCACTTTCTGTGGTTGCACGAGCGGCACATCGGCATTTAACTTGACGGCAAATTTTAGATTGGGGTGGCCCTCTTCTCAGAGTTATAATTTCTACAATGGTGGAGTGTATGAGAATACACTCCACCATTGTAGAAAATGAGAATGTAACATAAAATATTGTATGAGATTTTTTCTGAAAATTGCACAGCGTGACTGTCCTCAACGAGACCCGAAAGAAAGCCAATGCGCATCTATCATATACGTGCCCAATGGAGCAAATTTATTGGAACAATCATAGTGTAAATGGATGGTGCGCATTCTAGAAAAATTCGCGGAAGAGATTGATAGCCTGCATCATAGCCACATCATTTCCAGATGTAAATGACTACAGCTTTTGCAAAATATTGCTGTCTATAAAGTAAAAATAATAATTCCAATTTTGAATGGTTTATTGCAGAGTTAAGGGCATTTTGAAATCTCATCTGGCTACCCGTAGATAGCTGTAATATTACCGAACTGCAGTGTCGGTGCGAAGTTTTTATGGGATGTTTCGAAAAATGTCGCCTATAACCCTGAAATTTTAGAGTGAGAGGGGCATGGCCGCCTGGAAAATTTTCTCAACAGGGCTACTTTGTTTTTAAAGAATTTCAAAGGTTATCATGATCATTTACAAGTAACACTAGCTGCACAATTTTCTATCTCATATGCGCATCTTTAAAGGCAGTGTCCGGGCAAAAACTCGACTTTGAGATTTTGTGCTTATGCAGGCCTATTCGCCATGCTGAATCCGAAAATCCACATTGGAAAGCGCGAAAACGGCGAAAAAGGGCTCTAACACAGGAGGGAAATCAGCAGGTGGGCGGGGCTTTCCCCAGTGATTTCACGCTCCCAGCTCCCGGATCGATTTTCTCGATTCCGTTAGCCGTTCTGACATCGCTACCGGTCAAGTGCGAATGATTGACTTGAAACCGGAAGCGAGAAGGTCGCTTCGGAAGCAGGGGACGTGAATTCGCAGTGGGGAGGACCCCGCCCACCTGCTCATTTCCCTCCTGTGTTAGAGCCGTTTTTCGCCATTTTCGCGCTCTACAATGTGCATTTTCGGATTCAGCGTAGCGAATAGGCCCAAGTAAGCCAAAATCTCAAAATCGAGTTTTTGTGCTTATACGGGCCTATTCGCCATGCTGAATCCGAAAATCCACATTGGAAAGCGCGAAAACGGCGAAAAAGGGCTCTAATATAGGAGGGAAATCAGCAGGTGGGCGGGGCTTTCCCCAGTGCAGCTCCCGGAGCGATTTTCTCGATTCCGCTAGCCGTTCTAACATCGCTACCGGCCAAGTGCGAATGATTGACTTGAAACCGGAAGCGAGGAGGTCGCTGAGGAAGCCGGGAACGCGAATTCGCAGTGGGGAGGATCCCGCCCACCTGCTCATTTCCCTCCTGTGTTAGAGCAGTTTTCGCCATTTACGCGCTCTACAATGTGCATTTTCGGATTCAGCGTAGCGAATAGGCCCAAGTAAGCACAAAATCTCAAAATCGAGTTTTTGCCCGTACACTGCCTTTAAGGGATTTTGAGACCCATTGTAGAGGGGCGGGGAGGGGGAGGGGGAGGGGGATTCGGTCCGCCACAACTGCTAGTGTTTTTTTGGCCGTTTTGCCATTGTTGATTTTTCACTTGCCTAGAGGCTGTATTAATCTGCTTCTTCTGCACTGTCAGTAGCTTATTTCGTTTACATTGGAAGTGATCTGCCGTGTCGATTGCGTTCGTTTTTCTCTGAACTTCTAAAGTTCCAGATTGCCAGATGTTTTTACTGCGAAATGCGGTGAGGGGTGCGGCATGTGTGGCTGGCTGTGCTGTATTAGCAAAGAACTTGGAGGAAGAAAATACGTTCCGAAGAGTTCATTTATTTGCCGCAGAAAGGACGAAGAGCTTTGATGAATACTTTCCTCGAGGCACTTGGGATGATAACTGGGACTTGTATGTTTTTTAAAACAGATGGCTCTGTCTTTTGCTCCTGCAATCAGTGGTTCTCGTTGCAGTCGATCTCCAGCATTCCTTCTGAACAAGAAGGAGTATGAAAAAGCTTTGGACGAGGAAAGAGAGAAAATGGAGGAGGACGCGAAGGTTACTGCTATCCGCAATATCTTTCTTATTCGACACGGACAGTTCGAAGTGTTAAATGGAGAGAAGCGTCTTACGCCGTTAGGTATTTTTCTTCCCTCTTAACAACAAGTACGATGTTGCTCCGCGAAGAAAACAGGCGCTTTTTCGTACACTGGGTTTTCGTTGCAATGCTGGCGTTTCTTGAAGACTAGTCTGTTCCGGATTCACTGAGCCTTTGAGTACTTTGAGCATCTTCTCTAAATCTAAATCTTGATGCTTTGGATTCCAAAAGGCCCTCCCTCTTACACTCCCCCACTCAACGAGTATGAGCAGGGCTAATGAAACTTCAGAGATATCAGCATGTAGCGTTGGATGGGTTGAACGATGGGATTGGCGGCTATGATGGAGTACTTGTAGAGTCTACCATTTGATACCAAACAAAGTGCATTCGCTAGCCTACACGATGAATTACGAGAGCATCTTACAGTCAGACCCACACCATTATATTTTTCGTGGGATTTGGTTCTACAGTCCGATAACTTTACAAAATTCCCTTAAAACTTCTAAAAACAATCTTTGACAGAGGTCTGTCTTTATTGTCAATTCCAAGCAAAACTGACTATAGCAATTCAGTGAAGCAGTTAAAATTCGATTTTCCTATTTTCTTCGTATGTACCTCAGTGATGGACCTAAGCCTCGCTTCCCAAAATGTGTCGCGAAACTTTTGGAAGTGGCCTACAGAATTACAATATTGTACACGTGACCTGTTTCCTACCTGTGAACAGTTTGAACCCTTCTCAAAATTTTCTAAATTTCTCGGGCGCGCGGCTGTCGCCCCCCCCCCCTTTCCTGTAACTGACATAGAGCCGCCACAGGAAAACTTCTCAAAAAATTTCTTCGGAAAGCATGGCCAACTCTACTCCTTTTTATTCAATTAGAGTTGCTTTTTTCGATTTTTTTATTTATTTTATTTGAGAACTTTTTTTGTCGCACCCTCCCTCCCCGGTTGTAGGACTGCTACATGCCTGCATACCGCGCCAGCGGTCGCCGCTATGACCCTTCTGTAGGAGCCGACAAGCGCCTATAGCCGCGTTTGTTCTCACAAGAGTGCGGAGCATCACATTTTAATTTCGCATGTTACGTCTAGAGTATCCTAAAGTGTTTGTTCTTATGATTCTACATGCAGATGAAATCAGTCCCCAAATGAGGAGCAGGTTGCAGTGACTTTAGCACAAGGGAGGAACAGTTTTTAGCAAATTATCCTCAGTCAAAAAGTGCAAACCTTCGGCATTTTGAGCATAGGCAATACAAGGGCACATCTGGCACCAGATCAAGCTGGATATGTTGTGAGGTAGAAAGCAAAGAAGGTAAATATTGCAGAGAGTATTTGAGAATCGAATACTTTGTTAGCAGTTGTCAATCCAGACATCCCTACCGATTTGAGAGGTCAGGAGAGGCGTGTACATGCGCTTGAGGGACTGAATTACACCTGGGAAATCTGTGAAAGCTTTGTGAATAAAAACCTGACGAATTTTCTTCCCCAAATTAGCTAGCTGAGCTGGACCCGACCTTTTGCTCACATAATTTTTTAATGAATTTGATCGTCGCTGAACATTCAAAGTCTCCATCCCAGAGCTGGTTTATGAGCCTTTCTCTATGCATTTCACTGAAAATCAGTAGTGGCGCAATTCTTCTTTGTTCGCCAGGGGATTCGTTAAGCGATTCAACGCCCGAATTTTTTTTAATGGTGTTCGGTGTCCATTCATGTTTGTCTTTCGTCTCCCATTTATCAACCCATGATCATTTATTCTCATTTTCTATCTCAATATTGACACTAGAAGGGCTTGAGAGAACTTTGTAAAACTTCAGCAAAATCGAAAGAATTGTTCCAGAACTTATGACGCATACTAAAGTTGTAACGATCACTAAATTTTTGTCGAAGCAGCGGATATCGTAATCGACTTTTGAAAAATATTCGAACGAAAGATCAAAATCCTGAGTGTATCTGAAGTGTTTGAGTTTTGTCACTCGAAAAGGATATCTGTGCTTTCTTGGAAGAGAACAGGAACTCAATTTCTAATAGTTTTTAAAAGTACTATGTTGCATACGGTACACATCATTATCATAATACGGTTTTTCTCTTTGGAATCGAAGCAAAGAAAAGTTGCGATGTCGCACGCGTCGTTCGCCCGCGCTTTGCTGCAATTCTTGTTCGACTTGTCCCCATATCTCCCAAACAAATACTGGCGGCACAGCTCTACACGCTCATTTGAAAAGTTGAAGATTAGGTTATTGACTTTAATCTGTAAGAAGACTCCATGTAAACTTCAAAAAGATCATTCAATGCAGTGTGCTGCAGCATGTGCAGCACCGGTCCGCAACGTGTTCATCAATCTGCCAGATTTTACCGCATGAAAGGGATAAGTGAGTTATTGTTGCTTTTTCAAGGTTCCTAAGAAACAGAAGATTTCTACAGACATGTACAGGGTTCCCTAAAAGATTTGCATACTGTGCTTGTTAATAACTCTCTTGAATCAATGTCTTTCGCCGATCTTTGATTACCATTCTATAGAGCAAGAATCAACTTAGATTTACGGTATGGAGTGGATTTCCGAGCTCTCTTCGCTACTGTAGAATTACGGGGGAACTTCCACCATATAGGACAACTGTGAAATACCTTTCGGCAATTTTTTTCCTTCAGAAAGTCTTCAAAATTGTGCACTAAGGTTTTTACGCATGTTGATCTCAAAGCGCAACTTTTAGCAAGTGTTTTCAGCTTTTTGACGGTGTAATCACATTTTTGACGAATGCTTGAAAACAGTTGTTACGATTTATCCGGGATACTTAGAAAAAAAAAGCGTTGCAGTAAGGGGATTTTATATTGAAAATGCGACTTCGATTAGATTAGTAAAGAGTTTTTGGCTCGTTTGGTTTTAACTCGGCAAAATACGGCGCCCAATGGCCTAAACTTCTTGTCGAAGTTCTTACGGTAAAGTTGAAGCCCGCTCTAGCAAGTAGTGCCAAAAGATCGGCAAAAGACTTCAAAGTAAGAGAGTTATTAGCGATTAAACAATGTGCACATCTTTTTGGGAAACCCTGTACTTGTGCTTATTGCCCTCTATGGCAACTATCATGCCACGACTTTAGTATCTGATTCAAGTTTGCATGTATTTTTCCAGGGATTTCTCCCAGGGCTACCAATCTTACAAGGAAAAATTGGAATGGGTAGTTGTTTACAATCTATTTATAGTCTCGGTGAGTTGTAAAAGCTATTATAAAAAAAGTACGAGGAAGGCATACTGTGATAGAAGCCGAAGCAGTGGTGCTATTACTGGTTATTTACATAATAGCGAAATTTGATTGCATATAGTCCGAAAAAGAGGAGATACAGAAATAGCTGCATATAAACTGCTAATCTATTACCTGTCTGGTTATCGGTCGCTATTTTCACACCCTACGTTGTGGAATTGACCAGTTTTTACAAAATTGGCTTAGCTTTATTTTTGAAACTCCTTCTTCCAAAAACAAAAGAGAATCTCTCACATTCTTTACTCAGGTTCATTTCAAAATGTTGGGTTAAACCGAGAGTTTTGTCGCTTCGAATTTGCAAATTTCATAACTGGTTCCTGTGTGGACATATTTGCTTATAACAAATTTTACCGCGGAATGAGTGGCGTAGTAGTATGAGGCGCACCTATGACCAGGTCCCACACAGATTCGATCCCCGCCCATGTGCCAACCAAGCCCGCTACACTCGGGCCGATAAATTGATACCAGAGTAATCTGAGAGAATAAAAGCACTGACATTTTAAAGGGCTGGTCGAGTCACTGTAATAGGTTCGCACGCATAAAATTGCCTCTCTTATGAAGTAGTGTGCGTTCGGCGCATGCCCATGGAGGATATTGAAGACGCGAATCTTTTATATTCAAACTTTACCAGAAACGAATAAACGTCTACACTCTTTGACATCTTCGCGGCACTTTGACGACAGGGGCGGCAGAGATAAAAATCCGAATAGGAGAACTATTCTAGCTCTTGATTTTCTGTGATAACCGTCGAAAATTTGAAGCGCGGCAGAAAAGTTGAAGACATGTTTTTACTCTACGTACCATTTGATTCAACTGGCTTGGCTTCGTCAAGGCGGGCTTTGTGATCTAATTAAAGCTAGATAATGATCAGAGAGCACGCGCGCGAGGGAGACGCAGGTGTGTCGCGGGCGCGAGCGGCTTTAATAAAGTCACAAAGCTTCACCTTCCCGGCACCAAGCCAGTTGAATCGAAGGTTAGCTGCTGTTCATAAAATGCAGAGTTTGTGCTGATCGAGTTTTTTTCTGCCAAGTTATGATTTTCGAAGAAAATGCAAAAAACGAATAATTTTCCTTGCATTCCCTGCATTTTCACGGAAATCATCATCATTAGATAGACCAGCTTACATAGAGTAAGAAACATGTTGTCAGATCTCGCTTCAGATATTTGACGATTGATTTTAGAATATCAAGAGCTAGAGTGCTTCCTCTACTCAAGTTTTTATCTCTGGGGTCCCTGGTCGCCATAGAGCCGCGAATGTTTTTAGAAAGTAGGGGATAATTCCTTTCTGATAACAACTATTATGAGCGAATACATTCACACAGGGAGCAGTTATGAATTCTTCAGTTTTGAAGCGACAGAACTGCTGGTTCAACCTGATATAACATTGAGATTGTGCAACATACTCGTCCACTTGAAGTATTATCTATTAAAAAGGACTTTGCAACTTTCAACTTTCAAACATGAAATAGCCAGCTTACGTCCGTCTGGCTATAAAAACAGCTGAGAATCGTAACATGTACCATTTGATTCAACTGGCTTGGCTTTGGGAACGCGGGGCTGCTTGACCTTATCAAGGCTACTCAGACATTCGCGATTAAATCCCGCAGGAGATCCCCCACAAAATGGGAAATCGCGAGAAAATCGGGACTCTTGCGCGACACCCGGTTTTGTCCCGACTTTCGGGAGTATCCGGACAGAAAATTTGAAGCGGGAGATTATCGGGAGTCGCGATTTCGGAGTGTCTGAGCGTAAAGGATACTTGCGTGAAATACGACGCATGGTCAGACTAGCTTTAATGTCCACAAGTTTGGATGTGTTTCCAGTCCTACAGGCAAGAACACTGTCAATATGTTGTTTAGCGGACAACCTCTGATAGGTTCTTGGAGATATCCAATCCTGAATTCGGACTTGGTTTCCGAAGCCGCTGTGCGGTGGCTCCAATTGGTCTTTGTTTATGAGCGGGAGTCCCGCCGGTGTTGGATCACGACATCATCGGGACTCCCGCAGGAGCTCCCGGTTTGCTCACAAGGGAAGTTCGCGGAATCGAAATGGCCGATTGATATGTGGTATATACCCGGACTCGGGGCTCGGGAAGTTAGTATCAAATATGCAGCCATTAGCTGCGACGCGTTACTCTGGAGCAAGTTACAGCCCCTGGATCAAAGGTTAGGTTGCCATAATATTCCAGCTGCTCAGTAACTCGCGACCGCCTCGCTCGAGCCTTGCACCGCTTTGACGTATCTTTTGAGTACTTTCTCATGGTGAGTGATTAAGGCTGGCAAGGCAAGTTTGGATCTAGGGGTACAGGAATAAGTGTTGCCGATAGGTGCTGCCTTCAAGGAACACTGGTTCTTTCGCACATTCTTATGTAAGCTCTGTGAAGGACCAGTGATCCGCTAAGGCGGCGCCTAATGGCGGTATCTGCTCCTTTCTCAGAATTTTCGAACTTGGAGGTATTTGCGCGCTGCTATTGCATCTCATTTGCTGCCTACGCCAACTTCAGGGGAAAGTTCATCACTCCAAAGGAATTATGCATAATATTTGTCCTCCTATGCTTAACATGACTCGCGATTATCCTAAGAAAGAGGAACCATGATAGACATGCGCTTTTTCAACCTGTTCAAATATTCGAATGCTCTTCGCCTCATTTCGAAACTCTAGTATTAGATTAAGTTATATTGCGAATTTGAACGATATTCGAATAAAGGCCCTTTTCAATTATTCGACTATTCGAATAGTCGAATAAACAAAACACAATCCAGTCGAAGTTGGCATGGCTGAAATGGTGTCGCATGGTTTTGCTTCGCGTCTACAACTAGCTTATCTGCTCTCTCTTCAATCCCTTCGCTCTCTCCGCCAGTGCGCATATGCAACGCGACGCCAACTCTTGGCCTGATCTCGCTTGAGACAGACTGTATCAAATCGCACTTGTCAATATAGGCTTTCAGAAAGGGGGATTTGGGGGTTATACTCATGTCGTACTTCGTGTTTGAAATTATAATTGTAAATGACTGGTATAGGCGGTCCGCGCAGGGATCGTAGAGTGCGCAAGGTGTGTAGCGCGCGTCACTCCTCTTTGCTCATGCACTCTCGCCGCGTGTTTTGTCTGCGCCTCCTCTAGTCATGAACTGCCTTCAATGGACGCAACAGCGTTGCTCTCCGAGCGCAGCGCGGGCGGCCTATAAAATCATGAGAGTCGGTTTGAGTGGACGCTGCTTTCGAACAAAGGCAGACAAGGCTTGTTGGTTATTCAGACATTTGCAGTCATCATTGCGAATGACATCTGCACTTGAAAACAGAGGAGAATAGGGAATGATGACCGAATGTAAAAATTTTTTTCGTCTTCAAAATCATTCTCCATTTCCTCATATTACGAAACGATATACCATACCTGAATCTAGGGCGCGAGCAAGCCGCACTTCTTGGCAAACGTTTGGCTCAGTGTGGTATTAGCTTCGACCAACTCGTGATGTCTACTATGATAAGAGCTAAAGAAACAGCTGAGATCATTTTGGAACACTTGCCACCAACACTGAAGAGGTTTGCAACTTAGATATTTCTATTAGATCCTTCAATCTCTTCAGATCGAGCTGTGCATTACTGGAGGAGGGTCCTCCTTATCCCCCAGTTCCAGCTGTAGACTACTGGAACCCGGAGTATGCAGTCAGTATTTTCTAGTTACCGTAATTATCAGGCATCACGCATGATTGTAATCCATCCTTACCTGAGACGTTGAGGATTTCTTTGCGGAAGGATTGAGGATTGAGTCCGCATTTCGTCGACATATACATCGCGCTGCTTCCTCACAGAAGGAAGACTCCTATGAACTTTACGTTTGTCATTCCAATGTCATTCGCTACTTCATCTGTCGGTAGGTGTCTCTCAAACCTTCAATGTGACATATTACTTGTTGGTAGTAATTTACAGAGCTCTGCAGTTTCCTCCAGAAGGTTGGCTTCGCATGTCCTTAGGAAACTGCAGCATCACTTGGCTTGTCATTTTTCCCTCGGGTAGAGTCGATCTGCGGAGCCTTGGTGATATCGGTCATTTGCCTCCCTCTAAGGTGTCATTCACCTTGGTGTGAATGCTCATTTCAACTGCTGTTCAATCAACTGCATGCGTCGAGGAATGCATTCTATTATAGTTTTCAGATCCACAGTTTTTTCGCAGGTGCATTCTAGTTTCTGTTTCCTACTTTCTAGTTTGTTAGCAAACCGAAGTTGTATGTATGATCATATACTGCAGCGCTGCATCTCTTCACTCTGTATATACTTAGAAAGGCATGGATACAAATGATGTTGTGTGATGACAAATTATTCCCATTGCTGATCTAGATTATCCTGTAGAAATATCACCTTCAATAGATTATTGCTGCTCTAGTTTCTTTCGAAAGATCTCACATTGTTTTTGAACGGATTATGCGTAGCCATATGCATTGTGGCTTGTTGCGTTTATACATGGATGGTTTTTTTTTTGCGACAGCGCCTACTCAGACAGTCGAAGGAGTACCTCCGGCGAGCAAATGGTGCGAGTCTGTCACTTCGCGCTCTGGAGCGCTCCGGAGCCCTGCCATTTCAACCATTTTGCTGCTCCGGGTCTCTCTCAAATCTGGCGCACCTCCGGAGCAGAGATTTGCGCGTCCCGGAGAGGGGTCCCATTTGCCTGCTTGTGACGTCACCGTGACGTCACGGTGAACGCCCCGGGGCACCAAAATGGGTGAAATGGCAGGGCTCCGGAGCGCTTCAGAGCGCGAAGTGGCAGACGCGCCATTTGCCCGCCGGAGGTATCCCTTCGGCTGTCTGAGTATGAAGAGTGTGCCGAGATTGTCGGCACCTCTCTATCATGTCCAATCAAATTGTCTGTATCTCTCGTTAGTTCCGTAAAGGTCATGCCATAAGCTTGACCTTCTGTGTTATAAGTCTGTTTATTGCCTAGATGGCTTGTAACTTACCTAGCCATGCTTATCATAGTTAGCATTCCACCAATGCCCCAATGCGGGCAAGTCCGACTCTAAAATATCAGGCTGATGTATTGTCCACACTTGCAAACATTCTTACCAAGGCGACAACTACTTAGATAATCACCGGGGGCAGGCGGCCGCAACAGGCGCTTTTTTGCAGGCGGTGCAGAATTTTGGGGCGTGGTCAAACCTTTAGCGGGCGGTACTTCCTTTACTTTGCATGTTCTGCCAGCGGGAAGCAATACAGAATTTTCTGCGGGCGCTCGTCAAACAATTTCTTTCAGCGAGCGGTGGCCATAAATCCAGCGAGCGCTCGACTCTTTATGCAGGCACCGAGCAAAGGTAAGACTCTACATGGCAGAGGCGTCATCGATGGTTTAATCACCCGGGTTTGGGGTACTTTCTCTCAGCGGCCTATGGGCTGTGCGGTCCTTCACAAAAGACGTGCGGCTCTTAAAAATTTTCGGAAAGTCCGCGAGAATGCGGCCACAGCGCCGCCACTGATCATGAAAACCCGCGATTGTTCTCCGAGCGTTCGTCCAAAAATCGTTCCATAATTCTCAGAAGCGCTTTGTAGGTAACGAAAGCAGATTCGGAATCAGCGTTTCATGCTCTATAAGACAGTATACATTTTCTCTGGAAACGCCACTTCGACCAAGTATCCTTCCCTTGTGAGAGGTAAACTTATGTGAAATTTTGCTACGTCAAAGAGATGAAGTATGTATGATTGCAAATCTAGTAGTCTTGGGGCGATGATTATTTTGATTAATCTTTCAAATATTGATTGATTCTGAAATTTATGGCCGTTTTTTATAGAAGCACCTTTTTACCTCGCTGAAGCCGCAGGCTTCAATAGAATGCTTGAGTGATTGCTTCTGTCGTTTTGTGATAAAATCTCGTGGTACACGGATCCTTGCCGCCGTGACAACTGTTTTTTATCGACCAGAAATCCCTCTAATTTGTCGTCGCTCATCAAAACAGTGAAGATGATAAAAAATACTGATTTTGTAGGTTGTAGATGCTACAACTCAGAATTTTATCGGTGCAAGTAGTTTTTAGCTTAGTTTCACATACAATTACGTATCTCTCATATTGCAAAATGATGCTTGTTTATTTGTCCTTTTCGAAAATATATATGATATTAGGTTGGCTAGGAAGTTCTTGCGTTATTCAAACAAAATTCAATAACTTTTCAATGACTAAACCTAAATTCACATCATTGTTCTCTAAAAATATTAGAAGGCCTGCGCTCCAAGATGGATGTTTAAGCGCAAAATTTCATGAGCTAGTCCCCGAGAACGAAGCTCTCAAATATGGGACTTCAAAATTTGCAATTTTGAGTTTGGTGCCAGAAAATCGCAGAGTGTCGCTAGCTAGCCGAAAAAAATCTGTAAAAATTACTTACACTGCAGAAATCCATTTTACTTTGGAAGGCTTTGATCTTGCACGGTGAAGCAAAAACAAAAAATTCGTGAAATAGTCATTTTGCGGAAAAAATCCACTTACCGCAGTTTTTCGGCAAAAACTATTTTTTACACTCCAAAAAGCGTCGCAAAGTTATAAATAGGCAATATGTCTTATTTCTGGTTGCAAACTGTGTTTTTGTGGAAAAATTACATCGATAAGGGGATTTATCCTGTAAAATGACAAATTCCACAAATTTTTTGTTTTCGCATTCCCATGCGAGTTTGAAGCCTGCTAAAATATGGGCTTCTGCAGCGTAAGTAATTTTTACAGATTTTTTTCGGCTAGCTAGCGACACTCTGCGATTTTCTGGCACCAAACTCAAAATTGCAAATTTTGAAGTCCCATATTTGAGAGCTTCGTTCTCGGGGACTAGCTAATGAAATCTTGCGCTTAAACATCCATCTTGGAGCGCAGGCCTTCTAATATTTTTAGAGAACAAGAATGTGAATTTAGGTTTAGTCATTGAAAAGTTATTGAATTTTGTTTGAATTACGCAAGAACTTTCTAGCCAACCTAATATAATATATAATTCATACACAATTAGCTGAAGCAGTTTTGTCAACAAGTTTCTCCAACTTCTTTTCCGTCCATGATCCTAATGAAATACCAATAAGCAACGCTGCATGTCAATTCACAGTAACAACAGTTAATTGTGAATTGTCGAAAGTTATAGTTAGTACGATACTTGTCAGATATAGTTGTACTTCAACAATTTTGATTCAGCACGCTCCAAAGTTGTTCTCACTTTTTGCACTGTCGTTTAAAGGGATTTTTTCTCCATAAAAACGAGTTCCAAAAAAAGACATTACTGTGCTTACAATGTTGATACAGCTCAGAATTGAAACCATGAATTTTAGTTGGAAAAAAAGTTTTCTGTTAATACAATTTTAGTTGGAAAAAAAATTTTCTGTTAATACAACGGCTTTGTATTGGTTTTAGCAGAAAAACAACATTATGCGCTCTAATGCACTCCTAATGCTCGTCGAAAATGTAGTTCCAAGGAGAAAAGGAAGAACAAAAACGCTCTGCATTTGAGCTGGTTCTTCGAAAAGTGAACGTTACAATAAGAAGCGCAGGTATAACTTTTTTGATACTTCTTTCCACTTTGAAAAGATTGGACGTTTTGTCCTTCAAAAAGTATACCATGAAAAACAATCAATCTTTTTCCTCGCTGGCGAAAGTCATGATTTACAGCATCAGATTATGCAGAGGTTTCGCAGAGAGAGAGTAGATCAACTAGTTACCTTACTCGTTGTCGATTTCGAGCAGGTTGCGGAATGGCGAGCTAGAGAAGTCGAAAGTAAAGTTTGTGCTTATGCCTCCGATCTCTGAGATAGTTGATGATAGAATGTACTAAGGGTGCTGGGATACATTCATTGTTTTCTCTTCCTAGCAAAATCAATGGAAAGCATCCGTGAAAAAAAACAAAGACTGCAGTGGTGCAAGACTTTATGTTCAAATTCAAATATCTTACTTGGTCTTTTTATAAGCCCTAGATTTTCAGTTTGCTCTCAGATGCTGCAGCTCTCAAAATAACGAAATCTGCAAATATGTATAGTGCATTCTCATGTTGATGTATACCGTAATCACGAGTTACCTGCGCTTTCAAACACATACATTATTATGAGCCAAACATTAGGTCAATTAATTCTTCTCACAGTGATCTGTGTGTTGCCGAAGAGCCGATGTTTTCGTTCAATACATTGTTTATCACGTTGAAAGATCATGAGGCTAGAATTTATAGCATGTGCATTAGTTTGGTGTTGGAGTTTACGCGGGTTTGAAGGAATTTTGTGTATTGTTGATATTGTGCAATTTTCTTTGAGCCGTAACAAGTTTTCAAAGAACACTTTATTTACTGCCCAACGTTTGGGCTGAATGCCGTCTTCAGGGGCCTGAAAGCGAGTCAGTTACTCGTAAACCAAGCGACCTAGACCACCAGACACTTCCTCCAAACCGTACATTTGACTCATCTATTTTGTCGCAGATAAGTTCTCAAGTTGAATAGATAGCTTACAGTCTAGATCGTTTGATTTATGAGTGATTGACTCGCTTTCAGACCCCTGAAGACGGCATTCAGCCGAAACGTTGGGCAGTAAATAAAGTGTTTTTTTAAAAACCTGTTACGGCTCAAAGAAAATTGCACAATATCTACAAAATATGCCAAGGTTTTACAAAAAGGAGACATACAATCTATTTGTGTATTGTATTTTTTTATCCTTGCATTTGTCCCGCTTATGCAGCGTGTGCTTTTCATGTTAGTTATCTTCATGTTTCTTCTGTCTGAAGCAACGTCTTCATCTATTCCAAGTTCCCGCAGGTCAGTCTCGATTCTGTCCATCCACCTCACCTTGGACTACCCCTAGGTCTTTGTCTTGGTGCCTCCACTGCTAAAGCTAACCTCGTGGTGTGGCTCTTTTCCCTTCTACGCACATCCCCGTACCACTGTAATCTCTCTCCTGCATTTCCTGGGCAGTTGGAGCTACCTTCATTTTGGCTCGCATAGTGTCATTGCAGATGTAGTCCTTCAGTGTAACTCTTAAGGTTCACCTCAACATCCTTGTCCATGACACTGAGCTTGCATTCCTCATTCCGCGTACAGGGCCAGCCCCCACTACCATACAGTGCTGCTGGACGGATAATGGTCCGGTACAGTTGGGACTTGAGGTGCACCGGCATTCTTTTGTCGCACAGAACCCTGTCAAGGCTCTCCATTCCATCCACGCGGTGTTCATCTTGCCTGCGAACTCCTCTTGTAGGTCTCCTTCCACTAACAATAAGACGTGACTGCCTATGTACTTGTATGACCTTGTCTTTCAAGCTCTTCACCATCGATGGTTATGGAACCTGGAGTTCTCCCTACTTCCATGTACTCTGTCTTTTTGGTGTTGAGCTTCAAGACATACAACTCTAGCCTTTTGCTCCAGTTTTGCACCTCTTGTAACCCCATTCTGGTACTTGCTGTCACAACCACATCACCTGCGTAGAGAAGTGTCCAAGGAAGTTCATGTTCGAGCGGTTCCATCACAACGTTCATCACAGTGTAAATAGCAATGGAGAAAGAACTGATCCTTGGTGTACTCCGACATTGATTTGGAAATTTTTCGATTCCCCTGCAGTACGTGACTTAAACCGCTGTGGTGTATTTTTTATCCATTGAACTACTCCTCTGGCACCATGCGTTTCCGTGCTTACCATTTGACTCCATGGGGCATCTTATCGAAGACTTTCTGACGGTCCACGATGGCTGCATACAACTCCTTCTGCTTCTCTCTACATTTCTACATCATTTTTATCATCCGAGACGAGTGGATGGCATCAGTTGCACCTACTCATTTCGCCAATCCTCACTGAGTCGGTGACGCTTTCATATCCATGATTTTTGTATCGTAGGTCGTTTTGAAATTCTTTGTGTGTACCTTCTCTCCAGTGCCTTCATCTCTATCTCTATATATATGAAGCAGAAAATTGTGTGTGTGTGTCTGTGCACATTCTCCATAGTCATGAAAGATGAGCGGTGAAGCTCATTTTGATCTGCTGGTCATTAAGATATGGTAAGGACTCAAGGCGAGTCAGAATCAAAAGAGGGTAAATTTCGCTAAATCAAAGATCAAGTACTATGGACTGGCTCCAGAATGGGATGGAACCCGGGATGCCAGCTCGTAATTTATAAAGTGGTGTGCGTAGAAGTATCAGCGTCCTGCTCTGTTCTGAAAATACTGTTGATAATGTCAATGCTATTTTTAGTGCGTAAGATAGCTTACCGTTGAAATACACCAAAAAGCAGCGTAAGCTTCGAGCTGATTTTCTTGCACTCTATTGGGAAGCCGAATTTGCTAATAGAGCAAATCACGGGGCTTAACGAAAGCTTGCGAGTATACTCACTAGCATGGGTTGGAGAGCCTACACCAGTTGTGAGTCACCCACTGAGAGGATGCTTTATGGAATCGTACTTGGATTGCAATTTCCGGCACTCTATCTTCTCACACGTGCTATTACACAGTCTCATGTATTCTAAGCACTAGCGTAATGCACAAAAATGCTGCAAAAGAAACTGAAAAAGTACTCATGGAATGCTACGAATGCTGAAAGAGACATTTTTCTCAAAATAGCGTTCATTTCTTTGTGTACTTTATGTATTGTAATGAGTTGTCCATTAGTATAATGGATGTAAAGAATGGTACTCATAATTTCAAAGATGCGAGAAAAATGTTTATAAAGGCTCATGGCCGTCATTTCAGAGAGACCACATGGTGTGAGTATCTATCCTGGTTGCTGGAAGATTTTCCGCTTGTTTCTTCCTCGTGCTAATAGAATCTGTGATCCGATTCGGCATGGGCAGATTTTGTATTTCTTGGTGAGCCGAGTACAATCTCAAACAGATAATTTTATGAGAATCTTTGAAGCAAGCTGATCTCAAACTGAAATTCCAAAAGTTGCTGCATAATCTAGTGCATATAATGTTAGCTGCTAAAAGATATTCATTTAGCAATCTAGTAGACGTAAAATGACGACCACTAACACGCTGGAGAAAATGCCCGTTAATCCAAAAAGGAAACCCATAATTTATAACTAAGTTGCGAGGTATTCGAATCTAGAACTCTCTAAATGTGAACAGGAAATCTTTATCCAAATCGCCTATTCCGTCACCTTGGTTTTCAGTAATAATTGATTAATGAAGATTGACCGATGTGGCTATACAATAGCAAAAGTACACCTACGGTGAAGGCTAGATCTTTTTAGTGCTAAAAAATCTATGACTGTAACACGAAAGAGACACACACAGATTGAGCCAAAACGAACTGAGCTATACTTTCATTATTTCACCATTGGTCGAAACATAATCGATTCAACAATATACTGGAAAAGAATAGATTTTGCTCATCTTGATCAACATCTTTTGTTTGAATAATCAATCATTGGCGCACCAGCATGATATTTGAAGAAACTACACATGTACGAACAGCTTCAACATTCAAACATCAGTGCAGTTCAACAACATATGCTATTTTTTGTCTAATGAATAAGAAGATGATTTTTTTTGAAAATCTACTGTAACTGCACTGTCGTTTTAAAGAGCTTATCCACTCAGAGATTCTTTTCTCTACTTACTGATGTATTTTTGCGCATAAAAAAGTTCACCGCCAAAATTTTGAATTGGATAGGCACTGAATGGATTGGAAAAACGCTTTCAAAACATTTTTCTCACGATCTGCTCTAATTTTCTTATAGACCTATGCTTTTCGTGGATGAAGCGGAATCGAATTGCTGTCATTGCCGAGCCTATCAATGCTTGTATCTTGCACACTCAAGTTTGTTTTGAATGCAAGATTTAGCGAGATGCAGAGAGACGGGATGTAAGTCAGTCATTTGCCATGAAATGATGGATCTGGCCAACTATTATTAGGACGAGCTGAGGACATCGTTAATTCGCATTCAAAGAAATTACAGCGTTTAAAACAGATGCGTTTAGCGACTTCGTTGACACAGCTAACACATTTCCTGCCTGAGTTTTACCTATGAGTGCTTGTCGCAGTCGATATCCTGGTTCAGTTTTGCTCTGGCCATCGGATCAAAGCAGTGATTGATGTCTTGTTGTGATGAATGCGACTGAGAGGGTGGTGTCACTAGACCCACTGTGTACGCCCTCAGAAGTTTTTCCTGTCCAAATGCCTCCCGGCATGTTCTACGACCTCCGCCGATGTCGGTGGTAGTCACTCTTATTTTTAAACAAGAGCCGATCTCGTTACAAATAGCCGTAATTACCCGCGACTTGGCGCTGATGTTAGATTTCTCTCAAATGTAGATACCACTTGTGATCCATGTCCTATCATTAGCTTGTCTCCGATCTCCTCATTCGCGGAGGAAAAGCACATATTTCGTTTTTTTTTCAGAATCATGTTGAGTCCAGCATTACTCAAGGACTCGATGAACAGAAGGTAAGCTTTTCATACCTTTTTTCAGTCTTCTGAAATTGTGATAAAATGAAAAATTCAATATTTCCAGTATTTATTCAGAGAAGTTCTAATTTCTTGATTATAACAAAAAATTTCGCCATCACCTGTATAGGGAAACACAAAAGTGAATGTACTGCCATACTATAAAGGAAGGTGTGCCATGGCTTTTTTACTTCAAAAAGACGATTTTTTTGGGACAAACTCACTCTAAAAGTTGTCTTCTGCGCTGAACCTAAAAATAATCTTCGTCGTTTCTGTCCGCCTCTCCGAGTTACTGAAATCAAATGTAGATGGCATTATGCGCGATTTTATCCGAAAAATGTTGACTGATTTGTAGAAGGCTTTGGTCCCATAAAGCACACAACTAAAAATTTTCCAGGTCATCAATGTGTTGATTAACTTGCTACTCAATCGGTAACTTTGAACTACTACTAAACTTTTCGTGGAAAAGTACTGACTCTTAGCCGAATAGAACCAGATAGAATTCCATGATGGCAAAAACCTTCTATATAAAAGGGAATCCAGAAAGTGATGTTCTTACTTACGATCTGTGTTAGAAGTACGTTGTGAGTATCAAGTATTTTTCTTGATACTCACAACGTGCATTGTTGATGGCATTGTGTCCTTCGATATAATTTGACAATGACTACCCAAGAAGATCCATGCATGCATTCAATGACGTTCCCTTGAAAATGACCTTAAATGAATCAAAGGAAAACTCAGGTATGCTGCAGTTTTCCGCAAATGCTCATAAAGTTATCATGGTTTTACGTCATGTTGTCGAGCATAATGAATGAACTTTTGTTATGGATCGTGAAGCATCTTGAGTGACAAACTTCAAAAAGCTTCACTCATATCACATGATGATATAGAGGTGTGAAGTTGTTTTGTCCTTTTCGAAAAACTCTGTAGAGCTTCATAAACAATTTTCCTAGTTTCTGGCTTGAAGTAATGGGAGCTATGACATACAAAAGTCTCTTACTGCTAATCAAAAGCCAATGAGCTTTGCAATAAGTCTGAGGATGGTTCAGGATATCTTTTGCAACCGGCATAGCCATAAATTCTCAGCGAAAGGGTAGGAGAGAAAAGTGCTGCTGTAGCTCATCGGCATGTAAACTATTTCCGTATACGTTGTAAAACTCATGCCAATTTAAAAATCTCGGCAGCGGACCTTCTAGCATTTTTCGCGGACAGGGATGTAGAATAGGAACTTCTTGCAAGCGCATGTGCAAATACTGTATTGCTTTAGTAGCGTTAATTATGACTTAATAGGTATATCGCATGCAAAAGAACTGAGCTGCATTATCGCGCATACTATGCAAGATAAATTTCGAGTCAGAAAAGATTCAAACGGTAAGAGTGAGTCTAGAAAGGTAGAATGTTAGACAATGTTACGATTTACTAACATTGATCAGAATTTCCCTCGAAGGAGCCAGCTTCATGCTATGTTTTGGATTTTGTTTATAACAGTGACGAAAACAAGTAATGACTCTTGGTTTCTTATTAAATACCTATTGACGAAGGGAAGAACACTCTTTTCTGTGATTAATAAAGAAGACTGTTTCATCAAAGAATATTCTCATGTGAATAAATATTGTAAACACTCAACTGGGCTATTTTCGAAGCGGCAGGTTATGCGATTCATTAGTGCCAGAAAATCCATGACGTCCAAATCTTTTTGAGTGAACCTATAGGTGCATCAAATACGACATATACGGTCTGGATCAATTTAACGAAGAAATTCTCATTTGTGAAATATTCCGATCAGTTCTTCAAGCAAATGTTATCGACTTCAGATCATCACTCGGCAGTGCTGCCACAGAGGAACAACAAGTACGGGAATTTGCCAGAGTAAGTCGAATTATCACAAACCTATGAAAAAGGTCATTGCTAACAAAGCTTGCAATTTCTAACCTTCATCTATTTGAATTCTCCACAACCCATCTTGACTATGACTCGGTTTCGCTAAGCTCAAAAAGGAGAAAAATGGTTTTCTTCTTTCTGACTCGTTAATACTTCTTTTAGTACAAGCCAAGAGCAGGCTGAGGGGCTTGCTGAAGTGTCTCTTTCTATACAAAACCGACTTTGCACAAAAGGTTTACATTAAGAAGTGGAGAGTAGTCGTCAATCCCACAGTTGTCGGAACATTCTATGGAAAAACAAATATGGTGCACAATAATGGGCTTCAAAGGGCGTAGTGGTATGAGGCGCCATTCTAAAGGAAGGATCGCGATTTCGATCTAGTCTTGTTCATGAAATGGTCTATAATGATAAGTAAACGTAGTCATTAGTCTTGATCAGTTGGAATCATGAATGCATGTGCTCAATGTTTTTCCGTTATGGTAATTTTTTGCATTTTTTCGTTTTATTAGTGGAATTTGCTGAGAATTTATATTTCTGTATGTGCATCTTAATTTCCTTTTAGGCCTCGGGCAGAACTCACGCGATTTCATCGTCGGGATTGAGCGCGACAACGCAACTGTAACAATGTCACAGCATGGCGATATTCTTGCATTTCGGTTGTGATAGTTTTCCAAGACGACTAATCGTGACTAACTATCACAAACGAAATACAAGAAGATCGACATGCAATGAACTCGTTACACTTGCCTTGCAACGATGAATTGCGACGATGAAATCGCGTGAACTCTGCTCGAGGCCTTAGACCTCTCCTTCATTACTTTTGCGCCTATATCAATATCAATGGCATGTCAAGGAATAAGCTGGAAGTGCCTCATCGCGAAATGCCACACTTTATTACTCTCAGCTTTGTTGGACTGCGGTTAGGTGAACAAGCAGGGAGCGTTTCTGTTTGTCATTCTGGTAAATTTTTTCAGCCTCCGGCCGTATTTTTTCAAGTCTTCCTCCTGTTGGTCTTCTTCCTTATAGGCAGCGTCCGGCAAGGTAATGGTTGTTGGGATTTTATAGTGTTGCATAGACACCCCCAACTTACCTCTTAGTGAAGTCTGGAGCGATTAAACGCGTCTATAAAGCCTAAAATCCACTGCGGAAGTCTTCCGGACCCTGCCCACTTACATGCATTTTCCAGCGAATGTTGTTGTGAAGAGCTTCGAAAAAGCTCATTTTCACCATTCTCATGCAAACTCCGGATATGGGTTTAGCACGGCGAGAAGGCTCCGAAAAGGTGAAAAAGTGGAGAGCGAAATTTTGCCGAGACTCTGCCTTCAATGACAACCTCTTCCTGCTTTCTACGAGTTATCCCAAAAAGACTACCGTAATCAGTTTTCCTTCCCAATCTGTGTGGTCGTCGACGTCAAAATTAATGCAGATCAACTGAGACAAAATGGATAGTAGGAAAAGGATGAACAAACAATGCGAAATGAATGGTAGACATTCTGCAAAGGTGATCATGTTCGACAATCACCTATCAATTAGTCTTGTGCACTAATCATACCCCAGGTACTTTTATGCTTGGGTCTTAATAGAGCTCAGTGTACTGATAATTTCCTTGTCACTGTTTTCTCATTCATTCATCATTCGTTGCAGCGAAAAGTCGTTTCCTGCATGTGCGGCCGCTTATAGTCGCGCCGATGTTGTGTGGGCTGCAATATAGACATGATAAAATCGCATCAAAACCTTATCTCCTTTTTTTGGGAATGGATAGCACTAACATCATTACGATAGCTCTGCTAGACGCTAGCTGGCTATAAACGATGCGTTTAACAGTATAGACGGTACTTATCTATCCTTCGATGTGGTTCCATGTGCAGGCAAAACGAGCTGTAATGTTTTGACATGCATTTTGTGGCAGATGCGCGCATGTGAAGGATTTCTTGTTTATTTCAACATGTGCAGGATCCGCTCTTCGAGCCAGTTCCTTCACATGTTTGTCTAAGAAAAGTTCTCATCTTCCTTCCCACAGAGCGGCTTCGGTTTTTTGTGCATCCATCGAAACTGGGGCTCAGAGCTTGCACACTCATTTGGTCCTTCCACAGCCGAGGTCATCCTTATGATGTGATTATTCCGCCTACAAATCCGTAAAATCGCAATCTTTCTTTCTGCATCTTCTGGGTGAGAATTGGAGCAGCTCTCATTCGGCTCCTGCGTCACGAATGTGGTCTTTGAAACACTTAAAGTTCATTGTAGGCATATGCCATACTTATCCACTTCATGTACCCATTCAAAAAACTAACTACCTTGTACTAAATCGGAAGTCAGGTAAATTCACCCTAAATTTGATGCCATCAAAACTGCTGATAGCCGGCGGTATCATTGATAAGTGTGAAAGGCCACTTCTCCAATTATTAGTTTTAAGGCTTTGGCCACTTCCATTTTACCGGTACCAGTGTACCAGTGTTACTCGTGTTACAACTGCCGTTAAGGGCCGGGCATACTTCACGATTTCAGTCGCGACGCGATTTGGCAATTCGCCAGAAGTCTTCAGATCCAACGCTACCAAATTGCACATGTATAGTGTGTATAACTTGCAGGATTGATAAGATGCTCTATCTTCTGTACATTTGCAATGTGTTTACAGTGAGTTATGGATAGCTGGGATGTTGCCAAATCTCGTCGGGACTGAAATCGCGTGAAGTATGCCTGACACTTACACACTATTACTCGTGTTACTGGTGTTACTAGTGTTATCACTCTTATTGCTGTTGAATAGTGAAATGATCACAATACAGCCTCATTTTAAAGCGCAATATAACTGAACTGGTGAGTAACACGAGTAACGCTAGTAACACTAGTAATACGGGTAAAGTATGGCCAAAGCTTAAAGGCACCGTCACCCAAATTGGGGTTGGTGAGATTATGATACCTAGCAGATGCGGGGCCCCCAATTATATGATTGCCTAACTCGCGCTGCCCTGAAGTTGCTTCCGAACCGAGAAAATTGCTTTGGAAATCGCTTCAGGCCGCGTTCGCGACGCTGGCTCCTTCCCTTTCGGAGTGGGCGTAACGTTCGTCCCGCCCGTCCGTGAGCGTCCATCCAATCACTTACCGAAAAAATCGCTCTGCGAGTTCTGAAAACGGGGGTTTTTCGTGGTTTTTGCGGATTTTCAACTTGATATTCGGAATCAGGGGTACGAGAAGGCCCTAGAACGGCAAAAACATGGAGGTCGAAATTTTGGGTGGACGGTGCCTTTAAGTTGATGCAGAATTAATGCATGTTCCTTGTCCAGAAAAGATATGAGCTCTAGTCATTTCTAACTTGATATGTGAGGTTGCACATTAAACCCTATAACCAGGCATCCACGTTAGTGACTTCCCAGTGAAACATTTTCTAGGCTAAAAAATGTAGAAATGTGTTCTACTGACTAACATACATATAACCAACAAAAACAAAAGAAACAAGGAAACATGGAGAAATCGCTGAAAATGAGCAAGTTCTAATTTCGCAGCTCATCAGTTAGCGTGTATAGTGTGCACTACGCATATTAAGTTACAAATGACTCGACGATACAAATGCACGAAGTACATCTTGATAAAGCAGAACATGTTCTAACAGCATCTGAACGAACGCGAAAAATTCGATTTACATGCTTGAGAAGAGCTGGAAAATCCATTGTTACACTTCTAAAAGTTTTTAGTATGAGGTTATCTACAATATCGCTCTCAGAACTTGCAAATCTTCCGCGAATGTCGCGAAATACCGGGAATTTCGCGAAGGTCGGCGAAATTCCGGGAATGTCGCGACATTCACGGAAATTTTGCATGTTTTGAGAGCGATATTGTAGATCGAGACAATCCAGTATTGCCTTTGTTCGAGCATTTCAGATTTCAATCTCTCAATTTCTAGGCGTAGGAAAAATACAACAGGTGTACATATGCATAGTTGATGCGATAAGTAATGGAGCAAATTGGAAATTAGTATGATTTTTTCTATCGATCTTCGGGTCATTGGAAATTTTTAGATCTTTCTTCCCAATTTTTCGTGTATCGACTTAAACACTATCTTGTAAGGCTTGCGTTGCTCTATCAAACGATATCTTCCACAAATCTTTATACCTTTTACGCCGCTGCATCGAGTAATGTTTTGGAGATTAACGCATATCCGAAAAGCTGCCAGTGTTCTTCTGGAAGAGTTTCGCACGCATTTGATGGTTGATTCCGCTCTTCCTGCAGGTGGCTGCTTTAGCAGATTACATTCCTAGTCAAAACGCATTTGTGTAGCGCATGTGTAAAAGCATTTTTTCCTGAACAACTTTTGAAAGCTGTCTGAGCAGACATTGAAATGAGAAGAATGGGTGTGGATCATCGGATCATTGCCATCCGGCAAGTTCTTCTCTAAGTGCCATCGCACAGTTCTTTTGTAGCAAGAGGAAAGTGGTAATAGAGGCAAGCTTGCATCGCCTAAGCGGAGATTTGAAGAGAGTATTCCCTTAGGTTGTCCTCGGATAGTCGCATTTTTCTCGGATTCCTTTGACTACCTTTCGCAAAATGCAAGAGCCCCAAATGTTCGCAATTTATTCGTAAAAAAAACATATTTTTTCGTATTCCTTTACCATACACTATCAATATGGACAGCAAAGGAATATAAACTTATTGACCACAATTTCAGTCTTGCTCTCAATATAAGAGAAATGAAAAGCTCATACTAAGCATAAGATACTGCATGACTCCATTACTGATCCTAAACAAATCGCAAGTCTCCATTACTGAACACTTGCACAAGTTTGTATATGCCCATAAGACCTTGCCAAACCTAGGGCTTAATTTAAATTAAGTTTTTCATATGTCAATCTTTTCTACACCCGAAATTGATCAGTGGGATTAGAAGGAGTGGAAAAATAATGGCTAACTTATGATGCATAGGAGTTATCATAGTACGCACGCGAATAAGCTCTTTTCCGTTCTTTCATTTTCTCAGATTTCCTGGCTCTCTTAATCGCAAAGGTTAGCGGGACTTGATTCAAAGAAGTTGAGAAAGAAACTAAAAAAACTGAAAATAACATCTCATCACTAGACAAGGAAGTTCCAGTAATCTCTTTCGTTTCATTCGGTCCTTCAAAACAGCTGGCGGTGCTATCAAAGCACATCAATTATTGAGATACATAACTTCAACAAGAATAGATGAACGTGATGAAAAAGCGAACGAGGAAATGGTTTGTAGTTTTTACACGTGAGAAGCCGCCCAAATGGCAAAACATGCACGAGACATTGATGAAAGCAATGGCAAACAAACAAAACGGTAGAATATTTGCAAAAACAGCAAAAAATCGGCAAGTAGATATTCAAACGCATGCATTAAACCGAATCAAACGAATTATAGTTGTTGGAGATACTGGATATTTGCGGTAATGCATCTGGAGATTGCTGAGCATTAGGGAAGATGTTAATTCACTTTACCCAGCTGGCTGCAGCCCCAACAGTATCATAGTTGTTATGAAAGCAGAAAGGTAGTCCCTGCTGCTTCGCAGATGCTCGCAGTAACCATTTCAAAAATATCGGGAAAAAATACTAGAACCTCTCTGCTCATTATCATCCGACCACCAACTTTTTCTTAGCAGGGAAGGATACTTGGTGACCCCGGCCATTCATAATGGTTTGCGTATCAAAAAGTTTTCCATATCTGCGAAACGAAAACCTGAATGGAGTCACAATTTTTTTTCAAGAATGAATTGCTCCACTGCGGAGGGTAAAAATCATTTGAAAAAATGTTTCTTTCCTCTTTAAATGCTGAATGTAATTAAATCGGTATAAATACAACGTTACACCTTTCAAATTTCTTCTCGATACCTTCAAATGGTAAGATCAAATTGGGTGATTTCAACTACTCAAAAGTATGCAAATTTTCTACGAAAAAAGCTCATAACTGTCTTCAAATCAATGTTTCGAGATGCACCTTATGGTATATATCGCATTCCAAATGGGCCGGGGTCACCAAGTATCATTTCTTTTAGGCCCCCACATGCTCAAAAATGTTATACTATACATAGCTGGCAAACCTAGCTCAGCTCGGCCCTGCTAATAGTATATCCGTAATCAGACCCCCCCCCCCTCATGTCAACTCCCAGCTCCGTAGTTCGAACTAAAGGATCGATAAAATCGATGTCTAAATTGATTCAGAAAAAAATTTCTATTCGGAACATACGTAAAGACAGATGGACACACAGGCAGACCAACAGATATTCAGCTTTGTTAAATAAAATGCAAAAAAGCTTTGCAAAATATCTATACAGATTATTTCTTTGTATTTTTTTTGCGAATTTCCGTGACAAACCAGAGGAATAAGCGAGTGATGAAAATATAATTTTTACATATCTAGGAGCTATGTTTTATTATTCCAGATGTTTGGACGGCGACGTTCCAGTGGACTCATTGATGTGGAGGAGGAAACACGAGCAAGTGACAGCCGGCGTACGTTTTGAATTTGAACATGTAAACATGGGGAAAAAACATGTTGAAAATAATCTTGTCAAAGTCAAGGTGAGAACACTTATAGTGGATTTTGTAGTAGCACATACGCATATACGAGGCCTTTTCTGGATTCTCATCATTCTCAAAGTTTTTATTATTCTCATTTGCTATAGATTTGAAATTTCATTCTGATCACAAATTTTTATCTCGATGTATAGAGCCTGCATATAATTGAAACAACAAGTTTTTTTTAGCTCTTTGTTAGAAATCTCTTCGTTTCCTTGTTTGACCCGTATCATAAGCCAGTTCCTTAAGATCAAATTCTAAAGTATTCAAATCAATAATTTTCCCACTTAATATTGGGTTCCTGGGGACGAGTGGCGTAGTGGTATGAGGCGCTGCTATGACCAGATCGTACACAGGTTCGATCCCCGCCCCTGGGCCAACTAAGCCCTCTACCCTCCGGGACCGGTAAATTGGTACCAGAGTAATCTGGGAGGATAAAAGCACTGACTTGGATACGGCTGGCTCCCGCAAGTCACTGTAATAGGCTCGCACGCATACAATTGCCTCTTCGACTATGAAGTTAGTGTGTGCGTTCGGCGCATACCCTCAGAGGGTATTGAAGACGCCGAATCCTTTATCCTTTATCCTTTATTATTGGGTTCCAGTAAGTACATAAATTTCCTGTGTAATTTGTCATTCTCTTATGATGTTCGCTTATTTTAGGTTCCTCTTTATTCTTACTATGCACAAAAGAAGAACGACCAAAACGAAGAAATACTTCGCCAAGCCCACTGGCGAGCATAAACAATGAAGTTGTTGAGGTTAGTCAAGCATTTATTCGGACAAGTATTTCCCTTGCTCAGTCGTTGTCCGCGAAATCATAGTTCTGCAAGGTCTTCGCAGCTACTCCAAAGTTTTTGCCTTTGCGTTCTTGCATATTTTTGATATACAGAGTTAATAGATAGATAGTACTGAACGCTTAGCATACGACCACAAACGTGATTATCAACACAACCGCAGGAATTATTCGGTGGAATATTAAGGAGATATCGACTCTGCATTTTCAAAGAATTTATTCGTGTTGAAAATAGTGCAAATAATGTAGAATTTATTCGGAGCGAGCAACAAAGTTTCGCGCAACCGATGCATGGGCTAGGAAATGGGCATGGATGAACTGTAGGAAACGGAAAGCTAAAAAGAATGCCATAAACAGGGCTCGGCACAGCTGGCACCGGGTCAAGCTGGATATCGTTTTTAGGGCGGAAAGCAGAGACGATATCGTTTTTCCAGGGCCCGGGGCGGAGAAGAGACGCAAGAATGCCGCCGGCATGCCAGCGGCATGCTGTCCATCAAACAAATAAAGGCCTCGTTTTCAGTCAAAACGCAATAGTATGACACCTAATTTGGTGTGTGCATGCGCGCTGGGGGACCCGAATTATGGCCCAGAAATTTATGAAAACTTATGTGAATGAAAGCTGTGCTGAACTTTTTTTCGAATTAGCTGGCACAGTGCCAGCTGGGTGGCAGCTGAGCTGGCACCGACACTTTGCTCACATAAGTTTTCATACTTTTTTACATAAAGTGTATCTACATCGTAAAAACTTACATACAAAGAAGAAACAATTTAATGTTTCCTTTTCAACGTTTTATAGCCATTTGAAATTGAGTCGGTCTGATCCGCAGTCCAAAAATCGGCTTTTTCTGCTTTTCAAGGTGTGATCAACCACTTAAAAAGCTCAAAAAGCTGTGAAAAGTTGTTTCATGAAATCGCCATGCATGAAAACTCTATACATATTTTTACATAATTCAAAGTTAATGACAGGTTTTCAGTATAGGTCAAGGGGGACTTCGTACGAAATTTTCAGATCAAAAGCGAGCTCGTTTTGAAATTTCCCTGGTGCCAGCTCGTGCCGAACCCTGGCCATAAAGCACAGAAACGGCGTTCATAAGTTGCGCAGAAACTCGCACACAAAGTCGCTGTTTTTCCATAAGAGAGTGGTTTCAAGCGCAGCGATAATGAGCCCTTCGAAATGTCAAATCATGAAGATAATATATTATGTCACAGTTCTGTTGATCTGCGGAAGATCCTAACTGAAGTCAGTGCTGCGTCGTTTTTGGCCTTTCTCCTTTATTCGTGCGCCTCCACTTTTCGTGCTCTGCTTCACGACCCCACATTCACGGTTCAGCTCTGGTATTTATATTTTCTCGTTTATTTCATAAGCAAATCATACAAATTGTATATCATTTCATAGTTTATAGGTCTACCTATACCTTAACAATGTTAGCGAGTTCCTATTCTAATTTAGACGAAAAGGCTGGAAGAAGTGTTTTTTTCCGAAAAATTTTCATTTTCTTCTCCTCTTAGTCTTATATATGGTTTATAGTGCTGATATATACTCATGTCTATTTAGACATGAGTAAGATATATCAGCACTAGAAACCACATGTAAAACACCGAGTTACTTTACTGCAGAAAAATATTTAGTAAGAAGGTGCAAACATACCTTTTTTCTTTACCGCTCTCTTGTTAATTTCACATCCTTTATCTTTATCCTAATGGGAAAGTAAGCAAAGCAGGAACATCGTCTGAAGCGATAGGCAAGAGGAACGGCTTTGAAGGCTTTAGAAAGTCATCTCAAAAGTGCAAGCTTTCCTTTTTCAGATATTTTCTTCAAAAATCGTTGCACTTTCAATTAACAAATTTCCATGTGAATGACTTCAACCTTTCTGAGGCTTACACTAATATCACTTAATTAGGGATTTCGAACTCTGGTTCGTTAGGGTGATTACAGCATGACCGCCTTCATGGTTTTCTGACTGTTCTACTTCCATTTAAAATTACCTAAGAACTCTGCTCTGACAAAGTGAATGTTGACAATTGCAAAAAAATATGCAGGCAAAAGTACTCAGAACTCTGGAACTGGCGCTTGTAAATTCTTATGGAAGACCGTTTAGCAGGTGCGGAATGTGTGTATGTAAATATTCAGCCTAACGTGGGGGTTTGATGATATACAGATTGCTGGGATCGGTCAGTGTGTTCATGCTGAAAAGGTTCCCCAGGTGTTCATGAAAATCCAAGATAAAATGATGAGGTTTCTTCTAGAAACAACTATCCGCACGGTAACCATGCTGGCAACTGCTAAGTGCGCCAAGCTTGAGATCGCATCGAGGACGAGTGCAGCCAATTTATGGCCGTACTTATCTTTGATGATATAACGTTGAACTTAATATTCTTGCGCGTAAACAACTGTGTGCCTCTGCCTGAAATTTATAGCCCTCATTTCAGCGTATATACCACCATGCCACTGTTTCGTTATCATAATTCTCTTTCGTCCAATTTGTAGCTGATTTCATTGGATTGAACCTATCTTTGGAAGTTCCCATTTGCACTTTGCGAAGACACTTCTTCTTCCTGTAACTTTTTCAGTAATGAACCAGATAGAAAAGAAAATCAACATTCTGACAAGCCATTAGCGATATCCCGCATCGCGGAATTTATCGAGTGTTAAGGACGCTAATGTTATAGGGCAGTTCGCTACCTATAACATTAGCGTCCAGGCAAAAACTTCATTAAGAATTTTTTCGTACCTGAGCTTATTCTTTCCACTGATTTCTGAAAACCAGCTTGGAAATTAAAAAATTTCAAAAACGGGCTTTCCCAGAAGATCTTGATTTTGAATCTGGACATATGTCCCCAGGGTTGAGCCACAGAGTCGTTGTGGGACCTATGTCTTGACTGTGTGCGATATGCAAGACTTGATCAGATGGGCGCTATTACAAGCTAACTGTAAGTTCCTGCAATCGCCATACCTGGAGACGGATGCTGCCTTTGACTGTCGTACCGGCTGAGTGCTATTATATCTCTTTGATAGAATTTAAATGTGTAAATATTTTCATTTGTTTAGTAGGTAAAAGATGCTAAGGACACGTTCAAAACACAAGCAACTCCTGAGCCAGTTTGAAAGTGGACCGAATCTGTAAAAAGAACAACGAAAGCCCGTTTAAAGTGGCCTCTTCAAATGAGTCTACACTACTTTGAAGAGTATCGAACGCTGATTCCAAATCTGCTTATTCCTAGGCGAAATATTCTTTAAAGGAAGTTATGAGCATTTGAAAGTCCAAATTTGGAGCTTTGAGTGCGTAAAATCAGCCAAAATCTGTTTAAAAAAACACCTGAAAGTGGGTGCCAACTGTCGCCATTTACAAGCGTCATTCGGAAAGGCCACTTCGACTAAACAGCTTTTCTTGTAAGGTTATAGAATTTTTGCGAGCTAAGCAGATTTCTCAGTCAAACATACGTACAGTAGGCATTTGCTGTATGGATAAACCGAATTGATACAATGGTGGACTATAAATCCTCAGCGTATTTTACCTTGCTGTTGATACTGTGCAATTGTGTGCTGTCGCTTCCAAGAAGAGAATACCGCATTTTTTGCTCTCTCATGTATCGAAAGCAGCGTTGCAAAAAAACAGCCACTTCATAATTTTCGAGCTTTTATTCAGTCCTGAGATCGGTTAATCCTTCCCTACGAGCATTGTGCGCTTCTACTTTGAGGCGCAACTTAGAAAGAGAACCTGATTGTGAGATCCAAAAACAGGCAGTAGTGTTTGCTAGAGCGAAGCAGATAAAAGTGTCCATACTAGTATAATGAATTTTTTTCTTTTTTTGCAAGCAAAGTATTTGCGAACCTCGTGAATGTTGGTAACACTTGACTCATGCTCAAAGCACCAAAACGGGAAGTTTTATTGAGTAAGGGAAAATGTTTCTGCCATGAGCTATAGTTCCATCAGTAGATAGACGGCAAAGGCGTATCATATTCGTTCGGAGAGGGGGGGGGGGGGGAAATTCTTCTTGGTGAAGTTGCGTGCCGTAACCACCCACTCCGAAAATTTTTTTGGAATGCTTCCCAAAATTTGTGCGGGCCCGTAACCCCAAAAAAATTATTCTAGTTGTTTACAAGTAAGCAAAAAAATCTAAAAAATAAAATCTAGAATTCAAAAAAAATCTAAACAGTGTAAAATAATCTAAAAAATCTAAAAATCTAGAATCTAACAACCTCGATAAAAGAGGCGTGGCGTTATCCGAATAAGATTCTCCATTAATTCAATAGGAATTTTTAGAAATTTAATAATTATGTTGATGTTTCCCAATTAATCACAAGTCGTTTGCAAAATTTCATGAGCCATATAAGTAATTGCGAACATTTGCTACTCATTCATCGTCACCGCTTGGCCTGTGCCTCATTATATGGGTGGTAGTTATTCAATGAATACCGGTTGCTAAAATAAGCTGTCCGAAAGCCCGAATTAGCAAAGAACCTAACAGAAGCGCAGGGGGGGGGGGGAAATTGCTCTCACCTTTGCCGATCCGCCTTCATCCTATTATTTCAACACCTACAGAAGATTAATGAGGTCGCTGTACAGGTGCACTCCATCAAGTACATTCAACTTGATCAGGTGGATAACCTATGCACCGTCATCGCTGCCCCTCCGGCCACCTCTGCTCTCTCAAATAATCAAGCGGACCAATGATTTACGTGTGTTCCGCAACTGTTGTAATGCAATAGATCGTGGATCTCTCGTAAGCGCCAACGGCCTGCGATTTAGCCATTCCTCAACTCTTCACCCGTTTTTGTTTTCGGCTTGGGTGGTTCCTTCAGCACAACCGTGGTGCTGCTAGGAAAACATTGTCTCTCAAGTAGATATGAGAACAACATTTGGATAAGCTTTGTAGAGATCCGGCTCATCTCATTCTTCGAATTACCTCCTTGACTGCACAATATATTCTTTTGAACTAAAATTCTCACTCGGGTTTGTCTCA